GTCCACTGCTCCTCTGCGTGCCCCTTTGCCTTCTCCTCCTGAGTCCTCTCTTCCTGCTCTTGCTGACCCGGAGTCGGACTCCCTTCGTGCTGCCAGTCCGACTGTCACGCGTCTCCTTACTACTGTTGTCACTAACCCTTCCTTTGAGTCCACTGCTGCGTCTGCCCTAGTTGCTGAGCTCGTCGACTTTGCTGCTCGCTGTCGTCTAGACTACGCTGCTAGTCTTGTTGCTGCGTCTGAGTCTGTCTGTCCTCCGTCCGTCGGGGGTGAGTGTGCCCTTGGCACGGACGTCCTTGAGGACAGACAGGAGGAGTTCCAGTGTTTGGCTGCTGCTTCACCTCATCTCGTGTCCGTACTGCTTACCCCTGAGGGAGACCCGGATGCACTTGACATCCCGACTCCGCGCTCTTACGCGGAGGCGATAGAGGGTCCCTACTCCTCTCAGTGGCAGGCAGCTATGGACGCAGAGATGGCTTCCTGGAAGTCCACAGGCACCTACGTTGACGAGGTTCCCCCGCCTGGGGCGAACATCGTCAGTGGCATGTGGATTTTCAGGGTGAAGCGGCCGCCGGGTTCTCCGCCTGTCTTCAAGGCGCGTTACGTGGCTCGTGGCTTCAGTCAGCGGCAGGGAGTTGACTACTTTCAGACCTTCTCTCCCACCCCGAAGATGACCACTCTTCGGGTACTGCTGCACATAGCTGCTCACCGTGACTACGAGCTACACTCTCTTGACTTCAGCACTGCTTTCTTGCAGGGCAGCCTGCACGAGGAGATCTGGCTGCGCCGCCCACTTGGCTTCACTGGGACTTTTCCTCCTGGCACCCAGTGGAGCCTCCGGCGGCCAGTCTATGGTCTCCGCCAGGCACCGCGTGAGTGGCACGACACACTGAGGACTACGCTTGCGGCTCTTGGGTTTGCTCCCTCTACTGCCGACCCGTCGCTGTTTCTGCGCACCGACACTTCTTTGCCGCCGTTCTACATCCTCGTGTACGTCGACGACTTGGTCTTTGCCACAGCTGACACTGCTGGACTCGCCCACGTGAAGTCCGAGCTGCAGAAGAGACACACGTGCACAGACCTGGGTGAACTGCGCAGCTACCTTGGCTTGCAGATCACCCGGGACAGAGCACGCCGCACCATTACCCTGACTCAGTCACACATGGTGCAGCAGGTCCTTCAGCGCTTCGGCTTCACGTACTCCTCGCCTCAGGCCACTCCTCTGCCTACTCGCCACTCGCTCTCAGCTCTGCCTTCGGATGAGTCCGTAGAGTCGAGTGGCCCGTACCCAGAGCTTGTTGGCTGCCTCATGTACCTGATGACCTGCACTCGACCTGACCTTGCATACCCTCTTAGCATTCTCGCACGCTATGTTGCTCCTGGGAGACACAGACCGGAGCACATGGCTGCAGCGAAGAGGGTGTTGCGCTACTTGTGCAGTACGTCGGGCATGGGGCTTGTGCTTGGAGGGCAGAGTCCAGTGGTCCTCACTGGGCACGCAGACGCTTCTTGGGCTGACGACCAGGCTACGCAGCGGTCGTCACAGGGTTACACCTTCAGCCTTGGTTCCGGCTCTGTCTCGTGGCGGGCTACCCGCTCGTCTTCTGTTCTCGGCTCCAGTTGTGAGGCTGAGATCTACACAGGGGCCATGGCTGCACAGGAGCTTCGCTGGCTCACCTACCTGCTGACTGACCTCGGAGAGCCGCCTCGTTCTCCTCCAGTGCTGTACGTAGACAACAAGGCCATGCTGGCCTTGTGTCGGGAGCAGAGACTGGAGCACAGAACGAAGCACATTGCTCTTCGCTACTTCCTTGCTCGTGAGCTACAGCAGCGTGGTCAGCTACGCCTTGCGTACGTGGCCTCTCAGGCCAACACTGCTGATATCTTCACCAAGGCACTTGCGCCTTGTGATCATCAGCGCTTCTGTACTCAGCTGGGTCTTGTGCCTACCTTGCCTCACTTGCTCACCCCTTGACCTTGTTTGTACTGTTACATATATATATACACCTGCTCTTGCTTGTTTAGCCTTATATATATATGTAATCCTGCATGTGAACTGGCCTTGTGGCCTTGAACTTGTGCTCGGAATGTGTGGTGACGTTGTGATCCACCCTGAGCTTGCTTTGCTTTGCTTGACTGGTCTTGTGACCCCTTGTCCTCCCCCACTTTGCCTATGGGGGTGTGTCAGATTTATATGACTTAGCTGCTGTAGGCTATAGTGGGGTAGCACATATGGGGTACAGCTTTCTAGGGTTTGTACTTGTACCCAACTTTCCCTTAGTCTTTTCATTCCTCGTTCATTTTCACAAGTCGCACAAACGAATCGAGATGTACAAACAACCTCAATATAACAAATGTTCATGCTATCTAAATACAAGAACTTGAAAAAATAAAAACATATGATTAAAACCCGCTCAGATGGCATGCCGTCCGAGGGAGGCATCAACCCTAAACACCGTGCGACAAGGCGTTCAGGGTTTATAGCGAAATCAACTTGTATGAATGCTTTCTCTCTATATGCATTTTTTTATTGCGAACGGTCATCATTATGCTAAAAACCCATTTACATTTAATCTAGATTTATAAGGATTTGACTCGCGACTCGCTACGGAAGTAACTATGCAGCTGTAATAAGACAAATATTTATTTGTTTTAACCGATTGCGAAAGTGGTCGCGGGCCTTTTTCGTAAGTATCGTTTGTTTCGCGCGTGATATAACTTTACATGAATCTCTACTAGTTTCAACTTTCCATTGAGCGTTTCATTGTGTGGCCATACGTGATAGAATCATGGGGCAACATGTGACTATCCGTGATAGCCGTGTGACCATCCGTGATAACGAGCCCATGTTTGTGACTTTTCGTATAATTTCCCCTGGTGGAAACAATGTTCCCCCTTCCCCATTGTCTCAGCGCCCCCCCCAGATGTCCTTGTCGCGATGGACCCCAGCCCAGCCCACTCTCGACGGCCCGGGGCCGGGGGGGTCCTCTCCTCGCCTCGCCCAAGCCCCGCCGCTGGGCCCGAAAGGAGTCGGCGACTGTAACCCCAGGCACGCGAGGCCGGACGGGTGGGTACTGTACTCACCCTCGCCGACCCACGGCCGTACTTCTCGCTGCAAAAATTGGGCGCTCCTTTCCACCCCTGCACAGGTTTAGGAAGCACCCTGACCTGACGCAGTAGCGGGGACCACGCCCAACTCCCACACTCCCTCCTCCCACGACTGAGGCCTTGTTTGCAAGCACAAACAAACATACGAGAAGTACGGTACAGTTCTTGGGGAAATTATACTAGTCACAAACATGGGCACGATTTCTCCAAGAACAATGCTGCAAGATACCCTAGTCACATTCCCCGTGCAATGGTGAGCGCGAACGCATGAAAAAACCCAGGTTTGGGCATGGATTGTGGCGTAGATTTTTTTTGCAGAGTTCCCAGCTAGCTGGCGGGTTATTTTTCGGGCGCCCGCGCATGGGGGGGGGGGGGGGGTGGGGGGGTGTGTCCTGTCCCTCGAGTGCTGCGCTCGATGGCGTGGGGAATAGCGTGGGGAATAAAATGACGCGAGGCAATGCTTTTGACAGCGGCTTTCAGCACTTTATAGCACCTCAGCCATACTAGGAACCACCTTATTTCTCACTTCCGTCAGCAGCCATGTATGTCTATCAGGATCTGATTTCCGGTACGTTGTATACTAAGTATATCCGATGCGAGTTTCCATACATGATGATGCGAGTTTTTTTCATGCTAATCACAATTCGATTTTCATTCGTGTTATTAGGTGACGACCTACTGGCCAGCACTTATGACATCAAGGAGACCCACAACGGCATCTTCTATGAAGTCGAGAGCCAGGTGCGATCTTACCTAGTACTTCAAGAAGTTCTTTGACAGCACAATGATCCGACGCGTGAAGCTAACTAGATCTTATCATCGTCTGGATGATTGCAATCATGTGTACATGTGCAGTGGGCGGTAAAGGACCGTGTCGAGGACGAGGAGGAGGGTGAGCCCGAGAAGGTCGTGAATATTGTCCACACGTTCAATCTACAGGCACGTTGACAATGGTACTACGAATATAGTACTAGTGTCAAGCCATTTCGTAGTAGGGTTGCTCTAGTTACGGTCAAAGTTTACATTATCTGTGCTAGCCATCGACGCTTTCGAATGCTCTTCTTATATGCCAGGCCATCCGTTGCATCCGCATCCGTGTTTTTTTTTCTTCTTCTTCTTCTTTTTTTTAGTGCAGGAACTACCACCATTTGACAAGAAGGCGCTCACCACTTACCTGAAGAATTACGTTTATAAGCTCGCCAGCCTGATTCCTGATGAGAGGAAAATGAAATTTAGGGTGGACTCGTCCGAAGCTGCCAAGTGGCTCATCTCCAACCTCGCTGACCTGAAGTTGTACGTTTTCGGCCACAGCTTCCCACTCTCCCTCATCTTTCCCTCCAAACCCCCCCATTCCCCACTCCCCCTAACCTCGTCTCCCAGAGCCTTGCAGCAATCAGATGGGTCTTGTCGACATATTCCCTTCTCTCTGATTGATATTTTTTTTTTTCCTGATGCAGCTTTGCTGGTGAGTCCATGATCAACTTCGAGGACTTGGAAGGCTCACTCGTTTATGCTTACCACAAGGATGGTGCTGCCAACCTCACCTTCATCTATTTCAAGGACGGTCTGAAGGCGAAAAGATATTGAAGATGCGCTTTGTCTGTCCAACATGGCTCCAAATTCAGTGACGTTTAGAAGTTTCAATAAGCGTCCACACAGAAACCAGAAGGTCTTGCACCCGCAGAATACCGTAGCCTTATTGCAAAAAAGAACTATTGAAACAAATTATGTGGCATCTGTCCAGTGCACATGAACCCAATGAAAAGCCCTTGAAATTTTATTCAATGCCAATCTAAGGTGGAAACGAGTGTGAGAAGGATCACAGTAATGTGAACTGAAACCACCATTCCACAAATAACGCCTCGTGGGGCTGAGCAAATCCTGCCTGCTTCATATCATGCAAAGCCAAAGCTATGAACAATATATGACGAGCTCACGAGAATGAGCAAGCGCGTACGCATCATCTCTATGCTCTCATATGGCGGCAGCAGAAACTGGTGAAAGCACGTGTGTGCCGTGGGCAGGCGGGAAAGATCCACATCTGCCCGATGCAGATGAAACCCCATCGCCAGCCCCTTGAATCCGTTCACGGGCAGTTTCGAAACAGCAGTCGCGAAAAACAGCAGCGACTTCCGCTGCTCACCCGAAAGCGATTCCACAACTTCCCAAAACCACAAAACCTGGGAATCTTCTGGAGAATACCCGTGGTAGACCGTGTGCGCCTGCCAATCAGAGACCGCCACATGGCGGTCCTCCCCGTGAAGAAGCAGATGGAGGTCGTCGCATGAAAGCGGGGCGAGCATGGCCGCGAGACTCACGCCTTCAACCGAATCAATGCAGCAATCATCACTTTTCTGGAGTGGCGTCTGCAGCCCATCGCCTCCTTCCATGTCACCTCTTCCAACACCACCTCCCAACCCTCTCTGAGCCCCTACACTTCCTTCCATCCCTCCTTTCCCTTCCATCCCTTCCCTTCCTTCCACTGCATCCCCCTTCCCTGGAACCACATCCCGCCCTCCTCCGCTCCCCAGTATATCCTCCATGCCTCGCCGCAACGCCTCTCCCTCCTCCTCCACCACCCCGCACACTCTAAACTGCACCATCCGCTGCACAAACTCCGCCACGTCAGCCGCACCGACCACTCGCTCGCTGCCACCTGGCACGAGCTCTGCTTCGATTGGCGGGCCGCCCATCGGATCCTCTACAGATGCCACAAAGGTGAGACACAGTGACTCTATTCCTCCTCCTCCTTCTCTTCCTCCTCCTCCCTGTGCTGCTTCTTCCCTCTCCCTTTCAGCCATGGCCAGCAAAGACCGACAACTGGCTACTAGCTGGGGATCATCAGCAGCAGCATCAGCAAGGGAGGGAGTGCGAGCAGCAAGCAGCGCAAACAGGGACCGTGACAGTTTCACTCCTAAGGGGACCTGATGGGCCAAAGCGAGGGCCAGGATACGTCCGGCGAACCGAAGGTACTCCTTAGCTTCGGCAGGGTTGGCTCGGGACGCCAGGGAGAGGGAGAACCGGCTCGGGTCGTGAGGTACGGGAGAGAAGAGGCCCAGGTTCGGGTCGAAGAGGTGAGCCCGAACGAAGGCGAAGAACTCCCGAAGCACTCCCGGACCTGCAGCGCCACCCTCGCCTGTGAACCGGACGTCCAAGCCTCCAGTTCGGAGGGCTGTTGGGTCGGCGGAGAGGATCTGAATGAAGGCCTGGTGAAGAGCTAATGGGCCTCGTTCGATCTGAAGGGGTGAGATAGAAATGAGAGAAGGAAGGGGAAATGAATGAGGAATAGGGATGGGTTCTCCCCGGTTCGGAGGGATGTTGGATCGGCGGAGAGGATCTGAATGAAGGCCTGGTGAAGGGCCAATGGGCCTCGCTCAATCCGAGGGGGGTGAGTGGGGAAAGAAGAGTGAGGAAGGTGTGAGTCAGGGAGTTCATTGAGCTTGGGAAAACTGACAGATCTACTTTTGAGGCGCCTGAAAAGTAGCTTGGGAAAACTGACAGATGGGAAAAGTGCTGCTTCGGCAGATAAAAGAAAGAATGCATGCAGACATGCACAATCGCACAGTTACACACACAAAACTCACCTGAATGAACTCCTTGTCGAGATAATCGTCTCAAGAGGGAGGCAAGCACCACTGCAAGCTCCTCCAAACAATGAGTGCATGCATACACATCGCCCACAGGCGCACACTCACACAACACCCACCTGAATGAACTCCTTGTCCCGGTAGTCGTCCCGAGGGGGCGGCAGGCACCACTGCACCCAGCTCCTCTTGCCCTCCAAAAGTCCAAGGCGCGCATACACAAACATGCCCATGCTCACTTGCGCACACACACACACCGGACACAACACCCACCTGAATGAACTCCTTGTCCCGGTAGTCGTCCCGAGGGGGCGGCAAGCACCACTGCACCCAGCTCTTCTTGCCCTCCTGACTCAACAGCTCACTCCCACTATTGTCACTGCCCTCGCTGTCCCCATCCTCACTGCTCTCACCGCCCTCACTGATGCTACCCCCGCCCCTCCCCCTGTCTTCAAACTTCACTCCCTTGCCTTCACCATCTGCCCTGCAACTCATTCTACAGGAGCTGGAGGGGGGAAAAGGAAGCATGCGTTTTAGAGGCTGTAACATCCATGCCAGGGGCATGCCTCGACCCCCATACATCAACACCTCTTCCCATGCCGGACTTGACATAGCTCCCTTCTTCCCATCCTTCACATCCTTCCCATTCTTTCCACCACTCCAACCATCCCCTGGCAATCCTCCTCCTTCTCGTGTGGAGGCGGACTGGGACTGAGAAGGGATGTGTGCGGAGGCTGACAGGGTACCAGGAGGTGTGGTAGGGAGGTTGAGGAGGAGCGAGGGGTGGAGCGAGGAGGAGGAGCAGCGGGCGAGAGAGGCTGAGAAGAGAAGGCTGAGGGCGTGGCTATGGCGATGGGCAAAGGAGAGGAATTGATCGAGAAAGAAGGGTGGAGGGGACTCGATAGCTGATGTAACATCAGTAGCAGCATCATTAGCAGCACCATCAGCAGCAGCATCAGCAGCACCATCAACAGTAGCAGCAGCAACAGCATCAGCAGCAGTAGAAGCACCATCAGCAGCACCATCACCACCACCAGTTGCAGAGGCAGAACAATAGCCATCACCACCATCACCTGCTGCATCAGCAACAGCAGCAGCAGCACCACAACCACCACCATCACCAGTATAATCACACGAAACGGCAGCAAAAGAAGCCAAATACAGCATTCCAAGCAGCATCACTAGCTCGTCAAGTTGCGACTTATCCCGAAGTAGCTTCCCAGACGATTCCGGAGAGAGAGGAGGCTCGAAGGGCCAGGGCAGCGGGAACCCGTACGGTGGTATGCGGTGGAGTGGGATTAAGGAGAGGAGGCAGGTGTGGAGGGAGGAGAGAAGCGCGGAGCAGCAGGAGAGGAGTGAGGAGACGTGATTCAAGGAGGAAGAATCAAAGCTTCGTGAGGGAAAGTGGGTTGAGGTGGAATGTGAGTATGAGTGGAGGGGGGAGGGATCCTGTGCTTGTGTTGTTGCTGATGCTAGGGGAACAAAAGTATTCCTACTCCGTGCTTCCCTCTTGGGTGTCATTCCCACTGTTGCGGCTGTTGCCGTTGCTGTTGCTGATCCAGATGTTGCTCCTGCCCTTCTTTCTAATGGTGCTGCTGCCATTACTGCTCCTCCTGCTTTTCTTTCTGGTAGTCCTGCTGCTGCTGCTGCTGCTGCCATTTCTGCTAGGGTCTTCGTCTGCTGCTGCTGCTGCTGTTTCCATGCCCCGCTTTGCCAGTTTTCGTGCCCTAATATTCCCATGCGTAGATACATGCCAATCAGGAACTGCCACATCAGCATCCACCGAAAGCACCTGGCTTTGTTTCAACTCTGGTTTCATCCGCCTTCTGCCACCACCTGACGGCACCTGAAAACCACCTGTTGGGACCTGAAAAGCACCTGACGTATCCGAACGCACTTGGGGAGCACTCGAAGCGGAGCGCGCCTCTAAAGCACCTGAAGGCACCTGACACCCACCTGAGGGCACTGCAAAATCATCTGAAGCCACCTGACCAGCATCTGCTGCCAATTTCCGTCTCTTCCTGGCTCCATTTGAACTGGAAAAAGGAGGTACCCCCTCAGATATGCCAACTGGTAATCCACCCGGCACTGTAAACGCATCTTGAGGCGCTTCGAATATCTTCCTGGCTCCACGGGCATTGGAAAAAGGACGTGCTTCCTCAATCTTTCTAGGTAATCCATCCGGCACTGTACACGCATCCCAGTCTCTATTGCCCCGTTCACTGTGCACGGCCCGTTCACTGCCTCGCAGCCCGCTTGCCTTCTCTGCCTGCCGTATTGATGGCTTTGCAGCGGCCAGCGATGGCACTGCAGGTGGCAGTGCTGCCACTCGGGATGACAACGATGCCACTCTCGGCGTCAATGATCGTTGTGCAGGCGGCCACAGAGGCTGAGAAGGGACAGACTGAGAGGGCGGAGGCGCCGCCCCCAGGAATGGCGCTGCCCCCGCGGAAGTAAGCTGGTTTTTGGGCAGTGATGGTGGTGGTACTCTGGACTGCAACAATGAAGGTGACACTGATACCTGCACAGCCTGCTGCTGGCTTTGTTGCTTTTGCTGCTGGGGGTTCAAAGCGGGTGTGTTTAGACGCTCATTCAGGGGCACATTCGAAAGATCATTGAGGCAAAAAGAGGCTGGTATTGGGTGACGCAGCGCAAGGAGGAGAAGGACAGGCAGGCAGGCAGAGAGAAGAGCGACGTCAGTCTCAGGGAGTGAGGAGGAGAGGGAGGAAAGAAGGGCACATGCCTCTCTCGTGGACATCTGACAGGGGGCACTGTCCTTGTTGCTCTCTTTTTCTCCTAAGACCTTTCCTTCCGTAGTTGCTGCCCTTGCTTCCTCTGCTGCTACTGCTCTTCCTCCCTCTGCTTCTTCTGCCCTTCCTTCCCCGGCCACTGATGCCATCCCTTCCCCTGCCGCTGCTGACTCGCCTGCCCCTGCTGCTGCTGCTGCTGCTGCTGTCATAGACTGGGAGAGAGGAGAGGCTTGGATGGCAGCTGCAGTGCGCTGTAAGCACTGGAGCAGCAGCAGGGAGAGAGATGAGACCGCACCGCTGCCGCTGCTGCTGCTGCTGGTGACAGCAGAAGCTGCAGCAGAATAAACACCACAAGGGGCAGCATCCTTGGCGCTAGAAGCAGCAGCAGTGGCAGAGGCAGGCGCAGGAAAGCTGGCAGCAGGGAAACTAGAAGCAGCAGGAGGAGCAGCGGCAGCAGCAGCTGCAGCAGCTGAATCAACATCATTAGCATCAAGGATCGTGGCGTGCAGCAGGAGCTGCTGGGAGCACTGCAGTGGGCCGAGCTCAGCAGCTAGGCGAGCAAGGGCGTGCCGGCACGTGTCAAACGCACAGCCCAGATGGGTCTGAGTCGCAAACAGCGGATGCGCTTGAGTGGTTGATGGCTGTTGCGGTTGAAAGGTGGTTGAATGATGGGGATGGGTGTTGGTGCTGCGTGGAGTGAGAGAGTGAGGGTGGAGCGGATGTGCTGTGGCAGTGACAAGCCGGGAGGCAACGTGAAGGAGGAGCGGAACGAGACAGTGCTGGAGCTGAATGGGGAAGGGGGGGGGGATGGCAAGGGAGGGAGGGTTGTAGAGGAACGTTCGCCGGGACATTGCATTTGGACGAAAGCATATGGCCAAAAAAAAAAAAAAAAAAAAAAAAAAAAAAAAAAAAAAAAAAACCTGGTTTTTTCGCAAAACAAAAGGAGGTGGAAAACTGAAGGGCGGTGAGGTGAGGTTCGACCACTGGTTGTACACGCAGAAAATCAGCACAGGATAGGCACATCGTAAGCAGATGATACGCAGAAACATTGGCTCCTTCGGTGGAAACAGGATGCCTTGTGAACATTCTCAAAAGTAATACAAGCAAGGTGACCAGAAGTTAAGGAGAATACCTTGGCTTCTTTGGTGGAGGCAGGAGGTCTTGTGAGCACTCGCATGCACTCAGCCCCGCACTCAGCGTCGGCAGCGCACCCTGCAGCACCGCACTCCACCTCCGAGCACCCTTTACCACTCCTGCTACTTGTGGCCTGCTCTGCTAAGAGCAGTGCCAGCAGGGCATCGGCAGGAGTTGGACAGGGCACAGAAGCAGCAGGAGGGGGAGGAGGAACAGAAGTAGGGCCAGCAGCCGCAGGGACAGGCGCAGCAACAGTGGCGGACGCAACAGCAGCAGTAGCAACAGGAGTTGCAAAATCAGAAGCGGCAGGAGGAGCGGTGGCGGCTAAAGGGACAGAAGGGCTAGAGCGGCTTGATTTGGTATGGCATGGGATTGGGACGGCTCGAGTGGGTGAGATGAAAAAGGCAGCCACGAGCAGCGGCAGCTGGGAGGGCTTGACGCGCGATGAGGAGGCGACAAAGCGAGAGAAAGCCTGAATGATGGTTGCACGGAGCTGACGCGATTCCTGCAGGGAGGGGGGAGGAGGGAAGGCGGCTGGAGTGGGTGGGACGAAGAAGGCAGATACGAGCAGTGGCAGCTGGGAAGGATTGACTTGCGAGGAGGAGGCAACGAAGCTAGAGACGGCCTGAGTGATGGAGGCGCGGAGATGGCGGGATTCCTGGAGGGTGGAGATGGGGTGGGGTGGAGTCGAAGGGGACGGGGGGAGGGGGGGGGAGGGGGGGGGGGGGGGGCTGGGTTTAAAGAAAAGGATGGAAGATGAGGTTAATGATGGTGGCGCGGAAATGGAGGGATTCCTGAAGGGGGTTGAGAGGGGGAAGGAGGGGAGAATGGAGAATGGGGAACGGGAAGAGGGGTAAAGATAGGAGGGGAGAAAGGCTTGGTGAAACCCTTCTCCCTGAATGATGGTGGCGCGGAGATGGCGGGATTCCTGAGGTAAAGGGGAGGGGAGGGGGTGGAAAGAGGGAGTGGGGAGCGGGGAGTGGGGAACGGGGAGTGGGGAACGGGGAGTGGGGAACAGAGAATGCAGAACGGCCACGTGTATGTCCCATATTTCAAGAATGAAACATACTGCTTTTCAAGGCGATTCGCGCTGAAAAAAAGCGCTTGTGAAATGGGAAAAGTATGTACGGAGTTGCCTACTTTCTCTCACTTTGCACGAAGCAACTCCGTACAAAGTGAGACAAAGCATGCTTCATGGAAAGTGAGATATATTATTTACTTTGGGATTAGGAGGTGGAGTGGACGGATGACCGTTGGAGCACGGATTCAGGTAAGGGGACCCGGGAAGAAGCTTCCGTGCAGGTTCCACTAATTCCCTCAAAAGCATGGCTTGAGCCTGCCTTGCCGCTAGTGAGGAGGAGAAAGAGGAGGAGGAAGAAGCGGGAATTGAGGAGGGGACGGAGAGCGATCGAGGAGGAGACGAAAACGAGACGGGGAGGACGGACGAGCTTGGAGCAGCTGGGAGTGAAGAGGAGGAAACCAAGCAGTCGTCGGGATAGTTACGATTTTCTCTCATTTTGCTGCTGGACGAGTAAGGATCCCAACTCCCGCGAGGCAAGAAATTATGGCCCGCCATGGTCACGACTCACGAGAGGCAATAACGGTCATGCAACAATGGACGGCCTGACGTTGTACCATTTCGAAGGGACAAAATCTACCTTGGCTGAGGAAATTTACCTAGGTTGAGAATAGGCTTGCGCAGGGGTGGTTGGGACTGATTTTCGCTACAAGGATCTTCGTTTGGAGTACGAAACGCTGGAAGGAGGTGCTGGGACGAACCCAGTTTGGGCGATCTCAGCGAAAGACACAAGCTACGGACTGGAGTGGCCACACAAGCTAGAATGCAAGGAACTCTCAAAATCGCTGTAGTTCGCACGCAGCTCTTGTGCTTCTGTTGTTCGCGACAGTACCAGGTTATCCTGGTTGTTGCGACTTTATGATGACTTTCCGCGCTGTGTCGGTGCCACTCAGAGCCGACACCACATGCGATTGGTAGGGTGTTACAATCTCTTCAACACTTAGGGCGTCGAACATTTGGGCTTTTTTCCGAACGAACGTACGGTTCGGAAAATTACCGCTCTGAAACGTAATGAAACCTACTTGAACAAAGCGTTTGACAAATGGACTACTTTCAACCGTTCAGGCGGTAAGGTTCGTTTGGAAAATTTCCCAAATTTCCCAAAAAAAAAAAGATATTTGCGAGAGAATTCCAAAACAATACGGAGGGAGCGTCTAGCGCGTATTTGTTTCCTTCTCAATGCTCAGTGGGTTCCTCGCGCGCGAATATTTGAACCTGACGACTCCAGTTTGTTTCTGCGGCTCGTCAGAGATGCGAAGCAATCAATGCTTTTCGCATGTTTCGAAGAGCTGCCCTGAAATGTTTCGGTCAGTGTTGTGTGTATTCCACATAGCACTCAGGTATTCCAATGGGTGACCTTGTTCAGTCGCGGTAGCGGGTTGCGTTCTGGTCAGGCTGTATGAGGAGTTTTGTGGTCCCTTCAACAATTTGCAAACGCGCATTGCGGAGCTTAACCACGAAAAAAACAAACCCCAGCAGAACCAACGAAAAACCGTGGTAGGCAGGGCAGCCTGGGTCAAAGGAACCTTTAAATCCGTTCAATCCCTCCCAACCTTGCTTGAACCACATCCCCTGAAGTTCAAACCTAGGGCAACTCCCAGACTACTCCAAGACAACTCCAAGGCAACTCCAAGGCAACTCCTAGACAAACTGCAAGACAACTCCAAGGCAAACCATTTGCCAAAGACCCGCTAGTTACCTGTTGGCTCACTGATAGAGACCCCACACGATGAACAGTTCTGATACTTCTTCAGGGTAGCGGCACGATGCCGTTCAGCAGATCCCTTGAAATTACTGATTAGCTTACATGGCTTCCGGTCTCGACGTGACTGCTTTTTTTAGCTTAGAAGAGGCTGGTTGTTGAGTTGACTTTTACCTCGTAGGCTTGCATCCTAGGGTCGCCAGCATCTCGCTGGCCTTATCGCCTTTTGAGCTATTGACGTCGGTTTAACTGTTTACTGAACGCTAAGGACTTCAATCGTCAACCAAGAAAATACATTCATTTCTTACGCTGTAAGGCCTTTACTTCCGGCATATATGTGAAGAGGTCATAGTGAGCTTTTCCGACTTCGAAGTCAAGGCTCAGCTGACAATTTTCACGTGGAATACCTACATCCAGTGAATGAATCTTAGAAGCATCGTTCCAAGTAACGGACAGCAAGATTCCAAGTCTCAACGTTTCACCATTCACCGCTGAGATGTTTCCTGTTTTTACCTTCCATTCTCCCCATTCTTCTCGCTTCTCCCCCAGTTTCAGGATGGAGAACATGGCTCCGTCGCCCGCTTCCGTAGGCCGTCACAGGTCCGCGGGACTGCAAAGCGGACCCAGCAAGGCTGAACCTCTCAGCCGTCAGACACCGCTGCAAGGGGGGTCGTCGTCGTCGTTGTCGCAGCCAGGAAGATCGTCGTCGGCGTTGTCGCAGCGAGGCACGCCTAGAGCGGGGCTTGCGACGCTGACCGGCAACGTGCTCACGCCGCAGTCGCAGGCGTGTGAGTATTTGAGCCGTACTGCACTTGATGCACTATCGACGATACTCCAATCACCTCTTGTGTTGATATGACCATCTCTTGTTTTTGTCATCCTTCCGTGCGTCTATTCGCGGCCGATTTCTGAGTCGACTCAACAGTCCGCACGTTGACCATGATTCATGCTTCATCCTTCCGTGCGTCCCTCTTTGCCAGGACCTACGCCGGTCATTTATCCTCCGAGCCACGTGAAAGTGACTCTGTTTTGAGACGTTCTAAAAACGTGAATTTTCTTGTTGACCCGTTTCGTTATTCCTCCGTACATCCCAGGTCGCATATCGCAGCCAAAACTTCGAGCAACGTGAACGCAAATCTATCTCGAGACGTCTTAGAACGATTTCACTTTCCTGCGTCTCTCGTTCATCCCGATTCATGCGTTTTCCGTCTGTGCGTCCCTCTTGCCGCAGATCGCGATCTCTCCATCGCCGCCAAGATTCCGAACACCTGGAGACGTCTCATCGTCGGAGTCTTCGTGGTTCGACGAACCATGCTAACAAGATCGAATTCACCTTCTTGTGCATCTAGTTCACTCTGATCATGCATTGACATCCGTGTGTCCCTCTACCCGCAGATCGCGATCGCACCACCGCTGCCAAGACTCCGCGCAGCGTGAAAGTAAAACTGCTCTCAGACGTCTCAAAGAAATTCACTCTCTTGTGCCACTGGTTCACCTGATTCATGCATCATCTTTCCGTGCGTCCCTCTACCCGCAGATCGCGATCGCTCCATCGCTGTCAAGAGTCCGCGCAGCGTGAGACGTCTCAGAACAAATCTAGGTTCTTGTGCGTCTGGTTCTTGTGCGTCTGGTTCACCTGACTCATGCGTTATCCGTCCGTCTATGCGTCCCTCTCTACCCGCAGATCGCGATCGCATTATCGCTGTCAAGACTTCGAGCAGCGTGAAAGAGAATTTGCTCTGAGACGTCTCAAAGCAAATTTACTTCTTCTGCCTCTGATTTACCGGATTCGTGCGTTATCCGTCCGTGCGTCCCTCTCTACCCGCAGATCGCGATCGCACCATCGCTGTCAAGACCCCGAGCACTGCCACGAGGACTCGTCCCGTCCCCACGTGGTTATTAGCCGCGATCTCGGACGATTCGAACAATTCACTGTTATCCTTATGTGCGTCTCTCTACCCGCAGGTCGCGATCGCACCATGGCGGTCAAGACCCCGAGCACTGCCACGAGGACTCGTCCCGTCCCCACACGGTTATCAGCCGCAATCTCGGATGATTCCAACATCCAAGTAAGGAGCCCAAGGGAATTTGGCATGTCTCACATTTCACGCATGGATGAGGGTGATTTGAAGATTCAGGGAAATTTCGAGGAGGAATTCAGGATCGAATGCATGAGATGTCACGTTTCAGAGTCCTTCGAGTGTGCATTTGCCTGCTGGGCTGGATCATGGTTAGGACTCGAGAGTCACTTCCGTTTTTTCTCTCTTTCCCCCCAAGTCGACTCAAACGCCATATCTGATTCCGCCCTCTCTCCCCACCCCCAACCGCGCGTCGCCATCAGGTGATCGTGAGGGTGCGGCCGCCAGCAGGCCCTGAGCTGACGGGGTACCCCGGGCCCGGGGCAAAGTGTGTGGCGCAGGACGGCCCCCGGTCGCTGTTCCTGGTGAATCCGGACAGGGCGGGCGCGACGGAGCAGTTCACGTTCGACCACGTGGCAGGGGAGAGCGCGTCGCAGGTACGCATGGCGATGGACACGTGGCAGGTATGCATGGGGATGGGAGCAGCGGCGCTCTTGGATTGAAGGGCGTGGGAGAGCGTGTCGCGGGTAGGCATGGGGACGAGTGCTCGGGCAGGGAATGGAAGGAGGTGGTGGTGTATGGCACAGGACGGCCCCCGGTCGCTGTTCCTGGTGAACCCGGACAGGGCGGGCGCGGCGGAGCAGTTCACGTTCGACCACGTGGCAGGGGAGAGCGCGGCGCAGGAGGGCATGGGGATGAGTGCAGCGCGTGGGGATTGGGATTGGGGCTGTTGAATTGAAGGGCAAGGGAGAACGCGTCGCAGTTGGGCACGGTGCGTGGGGATAGGCGCTCTTGAATTGAAGGGGGGAAGCAAACGCATGGTCATGGTGGGTACGGTCCACAAGGCCATGTGTTTACGGTTGTTCTGTTGAGACCAATGCCGAACGCAGTCAACCCCCTCTGAAACCGACCCCCTTGGCTCCCCTCCCCTCCCCCTCCCCCCTCGGAGGGCCTGTTCGAGCTGGCAGGCTCTTTTCCATTACTTCAACATCCGCCATCTCTTGCCGCTCCCCTCACCGGCTTCACTCTTCACTCCCCCTCCCCCGTCCCTCTCCTCTATCTCTCTTCACAGGAGGATCTGTTCGAGCTGGCTGGGAGGCCCATAGTCGAAAACTGTCTTGGCGGATACAACAGCACCATGTTCGCGTATGGCCAGGTTCGTTGTACCTGGCTGGCATGTAGCACAGTACTTTGATTGGGATACACCGTGCTTGCTGTAGGGTGTTTTTAAGATTTCTCAAGTCAGGACACCTTGCTTGCTCGTTGTCCCATGCGTGTTGTTCGTAGTACCCCACCCGTCCCTCTTGCTTCTTCCCTTCCCTCTTCCCTAACCTCCCTTGACAACATCCTTAGCAGTCTCGTTCGTGCTGTGCCCCCTTCTTAGAGCGTCCCTGTTCACTTTTTTCAGCATGCTCTCCCTCCTCTTTTGCTATGTCTCTAACATCAGTCTTTCATATCCCGTTCCGTTTCAACCTTTTTGCATGCTCTCTCTCCCTCTTCCTGATCACTGTCCTCTCCTCTTCCCTGGGTTTGCCCATTTCCTCTTCTGTTTGACGCATCACAGACGGGCAGCGGGAAGACGTACACAATGTTTGGAGCTGACGTGGACAAGGCTGACGTGGACAGACTGCGAGGGGATAACGCTGACGTGGAGGTCGGGTCGAGGTGGGGGATGATCCCGCGAGTCTTCCAGCTGGTCTTCGCTCTCATGCAGCAGGTGCGTGTCATTCTGGCCACACATCTTGCTGCAAGCACTTGCCTGCCTGCATCTTGTGCCTTCACATCTTGCCACCCTCACCTTGCTGCTGCCTGCATGCAGCGCGATTGGCATACAATTAATGAGAGCAGATTGTTGTTTTAAGCAACCCCTTTGGTGTTCCATGGCAGTGTCTGTTTGTTTCCATCGCGCCACACCATCTTCCCACACCATCTTCCCACACCATCTTCCCACACCATCTTCCCTCGCTTTGCAGTTCTTCCCCATACCTACTCCCTTGTCTCCTACTTTCTCTCCTCCTCTCCCCACCTCTCTTCCTTCACTCCTCCTCGCCCGACCTCTCTCCCTTCCCTCCTCTCCCCACCTCGACTTTCCCCCCTTCTCTCCGCGCTCCCCCCCTCCCCGCCCCATGTGTCACCCCTGCCAGGAGAAACAGCAGAGGGCGGGCGAGCGTCTGACGTTCATCTGCACGTGCTCTTTCCTGGAGATTTACAACGAGCACTTTTACGACCTGCTCGACCCCAAGCGCTGCAACCTGCATGTGAGTGCAAGGATGAGGGCTTCGTGTTTAAGGTGCAGGGTAGGGTGCATGGGTTTTTGAGACGTCTCACGTTCATCTGCACGTGCTCCTTCCTAGAAAGCTAGAATGAGCACATTTAGTATGATCTGCTGGACCCCAAGTGCTGCAACCTGCATGTGGGTTCAAGGTTCAGGGTTCAGGATATAACGCTAGGGTTTCAGGTGTAGGGCGAGCGTCTCACGTCCATGTGCATGTGCTGATTCCTGGAGATTTACAAGCCAGTCTTTATTCGCCTATCCAGTCCTGTCACACACATTCACATGCCTCTCACTCACACCTTCCTGTCTTCCCTTCCCCTCTCCCTCCCCACTCCCTCCCCGTGTTGTCCCGCTCAGATCCGAGAGGGCCCCAATGGCGTGTATGTGGAGAATCTCACCAAGCAGCCGGTCACCTGCTTTGCTCAAGTCATGGAGCTAATCCAGCGAGTAAGTGGAGCTGAGTTGAGTTGAGCTGAGTCGACTCAAGGTGGTGGCCTGCTCTTATGCACAGAGATGCCTTCGAGTAGGCTCAATATGGTAAAAGAGTGTTGACATCGGCGTGTCTGTGCGTTTGTGTGCAACTTTTGAGACGTCTCAAAAGTCGTGTACTTTTGGTTGAGTCGGCTCAATGTTGTAACAGAGTGTTGACATCGGCGTGTGTGTGTGTGTGTGTGCAGGGAGCGAAGAATCGGCGGGTGGCGGGGACGAACATGAACCGGGAGAGCAGCCGGTCACACAGCGTCTTCACGTGCAACATTGAGAGCACGGTGAGTGCAGTGCTGGTGCTGACAGGCTTGAAGGTGGGGTGCTGCTGACATGAACTGGGGAGGGAGAGCAGCCGGTCTCACAGCGTCTTCACATGCAACATTGAGAGCACGGTGCGTGTTGTGTGCAGTGCTGCTGACAGGTCTGAAGGTGCAATGCAGAACTGTGAGTACTTCTGGCAACATCGAGAGCATGGAGAGTGCAGTGTGCAGTGCTGCTGACAGGCTTGAGAGAGCACGGTTGGTGTTGCTGGCAACACTGCGAGCAGAGCACAGTGAGTGGTGGCAGGATTGAAGCACAGTGAGTGCTGCTGACAGGTTTGAAGTTGTCAGCGCAGCGGCTTGGAGCTGATATTGTTGTGTTGCACTGTGTCCCCACCCCACGCCACCCCACCCCACCGCACCCCACCCAACCCCACCACTGCAGTGGACGGTCGAGGGCATCAGCAACCGGCGCTTTGGTCAACTCAACCTCGTTGACCTTGCGGGCTCTGAAAGGTACTTCCATCGCCTCTTGTCACGGGCTGCCATGTCTTCCCTCTTGCCACGTCTTTCCTTTCAAGGCTCTGAAAGGTGCCCTCCATCTCAAAAGGTACCTCACATCCCCTCTTTCCCGTTTTATTAGTTTCCTTCATTCGTATCCTCTCTTTGTCTCCATTCTGAAAGGTACCCCCCATTTCCTTTCCCCATTCCCACCCCACTCCACCCGCCTATACCCCTCTCCCACCCTCTCCACCGCTCTCCACCCCTGACAGGCAGAAGTCTTCAGGGGCGACAGGAGAGCGGCTCAAGGAGGCGAGCTCCATCAACACGTCTCTCTCCCAGCTCGGGTTTGTCACCTCTCTCCCTTGGCTCTCTCTCTTGGCTGAACACGCTGTGTGAATGAATGCTTCTCACTAAAATTTCTGACGGGATGCTTTGAGAACATGAGCGGCTCAAGGAGGCGAGCTCCATCAACAAGTCGCTCTCCAAATATATTTCTTGTCTGTGTGCATGTGTTGGTCTCGCAGCAAGGTGATCATGGTGCTCGTGGAGTCGCTGAGGGAGAACAAGCCCTGCCCGCTAATTTAAACCTACTCACTCTTGTGCCTGTGCCTGCGCCCGTGCCCGTGCCCGTCCTTCCTCCATCATGTGTTGGTGTCACAGCAAGGTGATCATGGTGCTGGTGGAGTCGCTAAGGGAGAACAAGCCTCGCCTGTTGATTCCAACATATTCACTCTTGTACCCATGCCCATGCCCGTGTGCCTGTGTGAATGTGTTGGTGTCACAGCAAGGTGATCATGGTGCTGGTGGAGTCGCTAAGGGAGAACAAGCCTCGCCACGTGCCCTACCGCGATTCCTACCTCACCTTCCTGCTCCAGGTGAACACCCTGGCTCCTTTTGTCTCCAGATGAATACCCTGGTTTCTTGCTCCTCCAGGTGATTACTCTTGCCTTTTCTTCCTCTAAGTGATATCCTGTGCTCCTCCAGATAGTACTCAGGCTCCTCCAGGTGAATACTCATGCAACAATATGCCAACACCACCCCCTTCTCTCTCACCACCCACTCCGCGTGCAGGACTCTCTGGGAGGCAACTCAAAGACCACCATTATCGCGTGCATCAGTCCATTCGCCGGGTACGCACTGATGATGTGTGCTGCTGTCACATGATCACCATTATTGCGTGCATCAGTCCATTTGCCGGGTACGCACTGATGATACTTGCTGCTGTCACATGGCCACCAGTTCTTGAGATGCTGTCACATGGCCACCAGTTCTTGAGATGCCTCAGCTCATATGCATCAACTTTTGTTGCCTGTCTCGTGTGTGGCTGCATCCACAGGTCGTTTCGGGAGTCGCACAGCACGCTCAAGTTCGCACAGCGGGCGAAGCTGGTGCATAACAAGGCGGTGGTGAATGAGGCTGCAGAGGGCGAGAAGGACGCTCTCAAGAAGGAGATTGCCCGCCTCAAGGTGCGTCGCTCCCTGTTCTCTTTTAGAGTTCAAAGTGCTCACAATAAATCTCACGGTAGTGCTCACAATATATCTCATGGTACTGCTCACAACAATAATGCCGCCCATGGTGCTCAAAGTGAGTCGACTCGGAACGCACAACAAGCCTCAGCTGTATTTTGAGTCTGATGGACCCTCACCTCGCCTCTCTTGCTTCCACTTACCTCCTTCCTACCTACTCTACACCTTCTCCTGTCGTTCCTCCCTCTCTCCTCCCGTACCCTCCCCCCAACCATGGATCCTCTGTCTACTGCCGTCTACTTCTCCCACCATGCCATCCACACACGACGAGCTTTATCACTTGCGTGAACTCTGCACCTGCGAAGCCCGTTTGCTCCTCCCTTCCCTCCCTCCAACAATGCTTCATCCCTCTTTCTCCCTCTTCTTCCCTCCTTCCCCTCCTCTCCCACCATCCCCACACACAGGACGAGCTTCATCGACTGTACAAGCTCTGCACCTGCGAAGCCCGTCTGCTCCTCCCTGCCTCCTCCTCCTCGCCTCCCTTCTCCCTCCCTCACTCCCGCACCACCACACCCAGAACACCCCGCAACCCGGCCACTACCACTCTCAACCCCACCAGCACTGGTGCTGCTGGCTCGATCGCTGCTGCTGGGACTACCACTGCTGCTGCTGCTGCCTGCTCTCCACTGGCAATGGCGTTGCAGGAGAGGGCGAACTCGCCCAGGCATGTGCAGCTGCTGGGGGAGATTGAGCGGCTGGAGCGGACGCTGGCGGGGTGCTTGCGCAGGGAGAGCGAGCTGGAGAGGGAAGTGGGCGTTCTGAGGGGCGAGAATGCGAAGCTGAGGAAGCAGCTCGCTGCTGCTGCTGCTGCTGCTGCTGCTACTGCTGCTCGTGGTGGGGTTGGGAATCAGGTTGATGTGACGGGTGCTAACGGTGGTGCTGGTGATGCTGGTGGTGCAGAGGGAGAGGGGATGGAGGGAAGGTTGGCGACTGTGGAGGAGGGGGAGGAGGAGGAGGAGGTGGAGGAGGATGGAAGTGGGTCGGAGGGTGTGCAGAGTGATATGGAGAATCTGAAGGATCAGGTGAGCACTGTAGAGTGTGGGTTGAGCGAACTGGAGGGTCAGGCAAGCGCAGTTCGGTGTGAGAGGAGAGCAGTGCGGTGAGAGGGGAGAACAATGCGGTGTGAGGGAAGAACAGTGTGGTGTGATGGGAGAGCACTGCGGAGTGTCTCCCTTCCTCCTGTGCATTACCTCCCCTGCCTGCCCTCCTTGCCTTACCTCCGCTCCCTGCCCCCCTTGCCCCTCCTGCCTTACATCCCCTCCCTTCTTCCTGCCATCCCTGCCCTCCCTGTCCTCCCATCCCTGGATTCTCCCCACACGTGTTCCTGCTCACCAGTTGGCGGAGCTGCTCGTGCAGAAGGCACCAGCAAGGGGCAGCACTCCCATACCCCCTCCCTTTCAACCTTGCCCTCCATTTTCTCACCACACGTATTTCTCCTCACCAGGTGGCGGAGCTGTTGGTGCAGAAGGCAGCAGCGGGCGGGGGCCACGCGCAGGCGCACATAGAGGAGCTCACGCAGGAGCTGCAGGGCGCACGGGCAGAGCTGACGCGGTTCAGGGAGCACCTACGGCTGTCTGATGCTGCTAACGAGCAGCTGGCGAGGTGAGAGACCGGCAAGATCCAGAGGGGAGTACAGTTTTAGTGATGCTGGGGAGTGTGTGAGCGGCTGGCTTGCTGCAGGGAGCAGCTAGGGGTGTTGGAGCTGGCGAGCTGAGCGGCAGGCAGTAGGTGACTCTTGAGTCGACGCAACAGCTGGCTCGCTGCAGGGAGCACACCAGGTGGATCCGTGCAGGGAGCGCGTAAGGCTGTCTGATGCTGCCAACGAGCAGCTGGCGAGGTGAGAGACGAATGGTGGATGATGGGTTAGGTGACTCTAGAGTCAACTCAAAAGCTGGCCGGGTGCAGGGGCGGAGATGCAGCTGCTGGCTGCTGAAAGTCTCAATTTATGCGCGCCATCCGCCCCTCCACCCCTTCATCCTTCCATCCCTCCGTCCTTCCATGCCTCGATCCCTCTTCTGCCCATCCAACAGGCAAACGAAAGAGATGGAGGCGGAGATGCAGCTGCTGGCTGCTCAGAACCTCTCTCTGGAAGAGCAAATCAGCTCTCTCAAGGCTCTAAACGCCGATACCTCCTCCTCCGCGTTCCAGAGAGGCCTCACCACACAGAAGGGAGGTCTTACCTCCGCGCCCACTCCCGTCCCATCAGTCGCCCGTGCTGCTGCCCCCAGCACTCTCATTCCCACGCCTCTGGTCACCACCACTCGGGGCGCTCATGCCGCCACTCCCAGCAGCGGCGGGTTTGGTACCGCACTGGGGGCAGGCATTAATAGGAACCTCGAAGAGGCGTTTTCTGGTGCCAAGGGATTTGAGACTCCGCTTTCGACAAGGGGCAAGGGTGCTACAGCAGGAAGAGGCGGAGGAGGAGGAGTGGGAGGAGTAGCAGGTGCGGAGTGTGTGGTTGATAGTAGGTCTTCTCTCAGGCATGTGGGGAAGGATCAGGATCGGTTCAGGCAGCAGCGATTGGATTTGGACTCGGCAATCAAAGGGAAACTGGAAGCAGAGTGGGCTAACAGCGCGCTCAAGGCGAATCTGAAGCTCCAGGAGCAGGAAGCGAGGGAGCTTGTAGAGAGGATGCAGACGGAGGAGGGGCGGAGGCGCGAGGCGGAGAGGCTGGCGGAGGAAGCGGAGAGAGAGGTTCGGGAAGCGGCCGCCGCGGCTGCGGCGTTGGCTCGGGAGAAAGCTTCGGTGGAGGAGCAGCTGCGGGCGATTCAGGAACAGGTTCGGGCGCTGCAGGGTCGAGAGGAGCGGAGCGAGGAGGAGAAGAGGGATTTGGAAGAGGCGCTAAGGAGGGAGAGAGATTTGGGGGAGGAGGCTGCTCAGCAGGCGGAGGCTGAGTGGAAGAAGACTCAAGAGGCGACTGCTAGGAGGATTGCTGCAGAGAGGAGCCTTCAGAGGACGATGGATGAGGCGAAGAATCTGCGGGGATTGCTGGATGATTCGGAGGAGACGAGGGCCAAGTATGTGAGGTTGAAGCATGAGCTACAGGCGGCGTTACAGAGGCTGGTGAAGGCGGCGGAACAGAAGGTGGAGGATGAGAAGGCGTTGGAGAGGATGAGGGAGGAGTTGGGTGCGGTGAGAGCGCAGGTGTTGAGTGCGGGAGAGAGGGCGGAGGAGGCAGAGAGGAGGGTGAGGGAGGGCGGGGTGGTGGGTGCGGGAGGTGAGGTGGGGGAAGGGGGAGTTGGGGCGGGTGTTGGGGGGGATGAGGTGGCAGGTGGGGAGGGTGACGTGGTGGATGCGGGGAGTGAGGTGGCAGGAGGAGAGGTGAGGGTGAGCGAGGGGGAGGAGGTAGAGAGGGAGCAGGCACAACGGCTAGTGGATGAGCTTATGAGGAAGGTGGAGGAGTTGGAGGAGAAAGGACGGGAGGCGGAGAGAAGGGCGGAAGAGGATGTGGTGAGACTGGAGGTAGCAGCGAGGAAGGTGCAGGAGGCGCAGGAAGAGGCGCGTTTGGCAGGGGAGAGAGTGAGAGAGAGGCTGGAGGAAGAGGAGAGTGTGAGAGCGAGGCTGGAGGTTCTGGAGGGTCTGATGCAGAGTGAGGAGGCAGAAGCTGTCAGGGCGAATGCAGAGGTGATGTTGCTGCAGGGGATACTGGAAGATATGGAAGGTATTGGTCGGTTTGGAATGGTGAAGATAGAAGGAGAAGGGGGGCTGGAGCAGGGGCAGTCTCGGGAAGAGCTGGAGGGGGAGTTGTTGCGGGTGCGAGAGGAGGTTGAGGGGAAAGAGGAGGAGATTCGGAGGCATAAGGAGGAGTTGGAGAGGAGTCAGAGGGAGTTGGAAGAGGTGACGGTGAAGCTGGGAGTGTGGGAGGACACGTGGGGGGCCTGGGAGACTCACCGGCAAGAGGTGCAATATCCAGGGGGATGTTGGTATGACATGGGTGTGAGGTATAACTGGGGGAGGGTGGTTCTGGAGCTGGTACAGCGAGAGTTGAGGGGGGTGAAGGAGGGGAAGGAGAGGGCGGAGGAGGAGAGGAGAGAGGCGGATGAGGCAGTGTGGAAAGCGGAGAAGGAGGTGAGGGCTTTGGTGGATGAGAATGGGGTGCTGAGGGGGCGGTTGGGGTTGGAGGAAGGGGATGTGGTTCCGGTGCCGGGGAAGGGGAGGAGAGAGAGCTTTGAGCTTGCAATTGGGGCGCTTAGAGCGAGGATTTGGGATGGGAGGGTGAGGGAGAGGGAGTTGGAAGGGGAGGAAGCGAGGGTGGAGAGGGAGAGGAAGGTGGTGGAGGAGAGGAGGAGGGAGGTGGAGGAGAGGAGGAGAGAGGTGGAGGAAAAGAGGAGGCGGGATGAGGAGGCGGGTGAGGGGGGTGTGCTGGGCGAGGAGGGTGTGCTGCAGGAAGAGAGGGATCGGGATGAGATATCATCAGAGATGGAGGGGATAGGAGTGGGGAGTAACGAGCAGGAAGAGGTGTTGGGAACGGGGGAGATGGGGGAGATGGGGGAGAAGGGGCAGGTCACACAGGCGGTGCAGGCAGAGGGGGAAGGGGAGCGAGTGAAGGAGGGTAGGGGGCAGACGGAGGATGAGAGAAGGATGGAGGAGGAGCGGCTGAGAGCATCGTCTGCTGCTCTGGAGGGGCAGGGAGCACAGATGGATGCTGAATTGGCAGGGTTTAGGGCGGAGAGGGAGAAGCAGAGGAGGGAGGTGGAGCAGATGCGAGCAGTAAGGGAGGTTCTGGAGCGGGAAAGGTGGCTGTTGGATCAGAGGGGGGAGTCTGGGGTGGAGGAGAAGGTGGAGAAGGAGAAGGAGAATGGGGAGGAGGAAAAGGGGAAAGGAGAGGATGAGGGGGAAAGGAGGAGCGAGGAGAAGGGAGATGGGGAAGGGGTTGGGTGGGAAGAAGGTGGGGAGGAGCATGGGATGGGGGTCCTGAGTTCTCCTGTTCGTGCTGCCGACGTGGGAACAGATGGGGTGTCAGCAGTGAGCTTGCAGCAGCCACATGCCACTCCAGTGCTCTTCTCGGCTTCTCGTGAACTGGGGAGAGGGAGGCAGGGTGGGAGAATGAGCTTGCCTGCACGTCTGGATGGAAGTGTGGTGTGTGCTGCTGGCGGGTTCGAGAGTGGGAGGGAGGGAGCGGTGGGGAGTGGTGATGAATGGTGGAGTGGGAGGATGGAGAGGGAGAGGGAGAGGGAGCAGGAGGTGGAGAGGAAGGAGGGCGAGGTGAAGCAACTGCTGAAGCAGGTTGAAGTTCTTCAGAAGGAGGTGCGTACTTGGGAGACATCCCAAAACAGCTTTCAACTTTTAGTGCTGCTTTGTGAAAGCCTCGTTTTCAATTCGGCCATGCTTCAATCCCTTCTATGCCCCCATCCCTGCCATGCCCCCATCCCTCCCATGCCCCCATCCTTCCCATGCCCCCATCCCTCCAATGCCCCCATCCCTCTTCCCATGCCCCCATCCCTCCTCCCATGCCCCCATCCCTCCTTCACTGTCTGAATCCATCCTCCCATCCCTCCCATCCATCCCATCCCTCCCATCCCTACCAGAACTGCCTGCTTCACGCCCAGCTGTGTGCGTCAGAGCAGTCAGTGCGCGGCTCACTCGCTGCCATGAGCACCCCAGCGCCCATGCGGGCAAGGAGCAGACGAAGCACACAAGAGGGGTCACCTGGAGCGACGGATATGAGCATGAGCAAGGGCATGGGCATGGGCATGGGCTCCATTCTTGAAACAGCAGGATCGGCATCAGAGTCGGGTATTGGAGACAGTGAAGCGGCCGCGGATGGGGGATGCTCGCCTGATGCAGCAGTAGCAGCAGCAGGAGGGGCAGCAGTGGAACTGCTAAAGGCGAAGGCGTTGAGGAGGCACCAGCAAGTGCTGCAAAAGGTGGGTTGTTGTTCTCAGGTGTTGAGGCGCCTCAGCAAACAGGTGATGGATGAAGTTGGTTGGTGGCCTTGGTTGTTACTCCCTCTCCCAGAATGTTCCGTGCTCTCCTCAATCATGCACTTCACATGGCACATTTTTTTTAGTCGATTCAAAAATCAGGTGATTTACAGCACAGGCGGGTTGGTGGCCTTGGTTATTACTACGGCAGCCCCGCTCCCAGAATGTTCCATGCTCTCCTCAATCATGCACAACTGTGCCACGTGAAGTGCATGGGCATGGGTCCCATTCTGTGCTATAGTCCCGTTCCATGCTCTCCTCAATCATGCACTTCACGTGGCACAGATGGCTCCGTCAATCAGCAACCCTGCCACGGTGGCAAGATTTCCCTCCACCCACGCCCTCTCATCCTCTCCTCCTCGCCTCGCCTCCTCCAGGACCATAGCTTTCCGGCCAACGTGCTTGTCTTCACCCTTCCCTTCCCTTGTCTTCACCCTTCCCTTCCCTGTCTCTTTCCTTCCGACCTCTCCTCTCCTCCTCGTTGCTTCCTCTGCCAGGATCACGAGATCCGCCGGCTTCTAACGTCCATGTCTTCGCCCCTTCCCCTCCCTTGCTTTCATGTCCTCCCTTTCCCCGTACCCCTTCCAACCTCTTCCGACCTCTCCTCTCCTCCTCGTTGCTTCCTCTGCCAGGATCACGAGATCCGCCAGCTTCTAACGTCCATGTCTTCGCCCCTTCCCCTCCCTTGCTTTCGTTTCGTTCCTTCCCCCCTATCCCTTCCAACCGCTTCCGACCTCTCCTCTCCCCCTCGTTGCTTCCTCTGCCAGGATCATGAGATTCGCCAGCTTCGCACGCAGCAAGACCTCCTCCTTCACGAGAAAGACAAGTACGTCGCCCTTGCCTTCTCACCTGCCCTCTCTGCTCTGAACATTTGAGGCGCCTCAAAGGCCTGCTCTCTCTGCCCTGACCCCTCTCAACTCCGCTTTCCCGCGCACTTCTCATTTCATCCATTCCCCACTCCTCTGGTGTTGCTTGCACCAAGCCTTAAAAACTTGCACTTCTGGAAACATTTTTTCACTGGCTTCTTCATTTGAAATCTCTCAAAGCCCGCTTACAAGGCATTCGATACTCCCCGTCTGTTCGTCTGTGCTTCCCCATCATCCATTTATTGCAAATTCTGGCGGTAGAGATTTATCGTGCAGGAAGCGCGGTTTCATGTGGTGCTGCTGCTATGCATTGCGGTTTCATGTGGTGCTGCTGCTATGCATTGCAGTTTGTATGTCTCATGAATTCCCTAGTGTTTTCTTTCCGCCCCATCCTGTTCACCCAGGTTTCTGGTGGAGATACAGCAGATTCGGTCAGAGGCAGTGCTGTAGACAAGTACAGCAAATTTGGTGACATGTGCTGCTGCTTGCGGTCTGCGTGTCTCATTATCCTCCAATCACTCCGCCCCATCACTATACCCAGGTTTCTGGTGGAGATACAGCAAATTCGGTCAGAAGCAGTGCTGCAGAGGAGCATGGCGGACAAGTGCATGCAGACGAACCACGCAATCACCCAGGAGAACGCTCACCTCAAGGTGAGAGTGTGTTTCTATTGCGCTTCAGAAACAGCTGTTTGGTTCAGCAGCGGCATGCAGTGCTGCAGAGGAGCATGGCGGACAAGTGCATGCAGACCAACCACACGCTCTCTCAGGAGAATGCTCACCTCAAGGTGAGCATGGGTTTCTATCGCGCTCTTAGGCACATTCCTTAGTGCACCAGCAGCGGGCAGCACAGCAGTCAGAAGCAGTGCTGCAGAGGAGCATTGCGGACAAGTGCATGCAGACGAACCACGCAATCACCCAGGAGAAAGCTCACCTCAAGGTGAGAGCGGGTTTCTACAACTCCTCAGGAACAGCTTCTTAGTGCAGCAGCAACAGCCAGCACAGCAGCAGGCAGTGCAGCAGCAGGCAGTGCAGCGGTCAGAGGCAGTGCTGCAGAGAGCATGGCGGACACGTGCCTGGAGAGGGACCAGGTGAATGATCAGCGTGAGAGTGTGCTTCTAGGGCGCCTTAGAAACTGTCTTTCAGTGCAGCGGTCAGAGGCAGTGCTGCAGAGAGCATGGCGGGCAAGTGGCTGGAGAGGGACCAGGCGCTCTCTCAGGAGAATGCTCACCTCAAGGTGAGAGTGTGCTTCTACAACTCATCGAAAACGGTTTCTTAGTGCAGCAGCAACAGCCAGCACAGCAGCAGGCAGTGCAGCAGCAGGCAGTGCAGCAGTCAGAGGCAGTGCAGCAGAGAGCATGGCGGACACGTGCCAGCAGAGGGACCAGGTGAATGATCAGCGTGAGAGTGTGCTTCTAGGGCGCCTTAGAAACTGTCTTTCAGTGCAGCGGTCAGAGGCAGTGCTGCAGAGAGCATGGCGGACAAGTGCTTGCAGAAGAATCACACGCTCTCTCTCATGAAAATGCTCACCTCAAGGTGAGAGAGTGTTATTATAGTGCTTCAGAAACGGTTGTTTAGTGCAGCAGCGGTATGCAGTGCTGCAGAGAGCATGGCGGACACGTGCCTGGAGTGGGACCAGGCGCTCACTCAGGAGAATGCTCCGCGTGAGAGCGTGCTTCTAGGGCGCCTTAGAAACTGTATTTTGGTGCAGTGCAGCAGCGGGCACAGCAGCAGAGGAGCATGGCGGGCGGACACATGCCTGGCGAGGGACCAGGAGAATGCTAAGCGTTAGAGTGTGCTTCTAGGGCGCCTTAGAAACTGTCTTTTGTTGCAGTGCAGCAGCGGGCACAGCAGCAGCTGCAGCCAGAACAGTTTTGAGGCGCCTCATAACTAGCCTTAGAAACTGTCTTTTGTTGCAGTGCAGCAGCGGGCACAGCAGCAGCTGCAGCCAGAACAGCACGAGGCAGTGCTTCAGAGAACTGGAGGGCGTGCAGAAGCAGTTGTTAGGAGGCAGAGGGCGAGGCGGAGAGGCTGGCGTGGACTGGTTTCATGATGATTCGTTCAATCAGCCTTTCTTTTATCTCCCTGCCTTGGATCCTCTTTCCTTCCCCAACCAACTACAACTAGAAACCGTGCAGCAGCAGTTGGAGAAGGCAGAGGACGAGCAAGAGAGGGAGCTACTCAGGCTTGGCCTCTCCTGTTCATCCTGCCACCCTTTTCTTTTCCCTTCTCTTCCCCTCTTCCCTCGGCCCGTCCCCCCTCCTCCAAACCAGCAACAACTGGAGGGCGTGCAGCAGCAGTTGGAGAAGGCAGAGTGTGCTGGCGAGGGCGATACTCGGGTTTGGCCTCTCCTGTTCGTCCCGTCACCCTTTCTTTTCTGTTCTCTTCTCCTTTCCTTGGCTCAACTTTCTACCCCACCCCAGCAACAACTGGAGGGCGTGCAGCAGCAGCTGGAGAAGGCAGAGGGCGAGCTTGTGGGGCTGGTGGGGCAGCACAACCCGAAGCAGCGCATTCACACGTTTTCCAAGGTCAAGGTGAGACATAGACAGAGGGAGCAATTTTCCAAGTTCAGGGTGAGTCGAGCTGGCGGGGCTGGTGGGGCAGCACAACCCAAAACAGCACATTCACATGTTTTCCAAGGTCAAGGTACGAGATCAAGGGAAGGATGACTTCCAGATTAGAGTGGGTTGAGCTGCAGAGGCTGGTGGGGCAGCACAGCCTGAACCAGCGCATTCAAGTGTTTGCCCAGTTGAAGGCGTGTGGGGGTGTGGAGGGTGGTGGAATACCTCAGTCCGAACCAGCGCATGTGCATTCCAAGATTAGAGTGGGTTGAGCTGCAGAGGCTGGTGGGGCAGCACAGCTTGAACCAGCGCATTCAAGTGTTTGCCCAGTTGAAGGCGTGTGGGGGTGTGGAGGGTGGTGGAATACCTCAGTCCGAACCAGCGCATGTGCATTCCAAGATTAGAGTGGGTTGAGCTGCAGAGGCTGGTGGGGCAGCACAGCTTGAACCAGCGCATTCAATTGGTTGCCCAGTTGAAGGTGTGATGTGGATGGAGGAGTGCGAGGTGGATAGAGGGGTGTGAATGGGGGCGCATATAAGTCGATTCAGATATCACCTCTCGAGCTGCAGAGGCTGGTGGGGCAGCACAGCTTGAACCAGCGCATTCAAGTGTTTGCCAAGTTTGGGGTGCAGAGGGTGGTGGGGTATCACAGCCTGAACCAGCGCAAGTGTTTTCCAAGTTGAGGGTGGGTTGAGTTGGCGAGGCTGGCAGCAGCAGCGGATTGTGTTGGGTAGCAGGGAACGTGAATCCACGCCGTTTAGTTTTGAGACGTCTCAAAACCAGCAGCGGATTGTGTTGTGTAGCAGGGATCGTGAATCCACGCCGTTTCAAACCCCCTTGCTTTCCCGTTTCCCTTTCCACCTCCATTTCTCCTCTTCTTTCCACCTGCTAAGGCGGAGAACAGCAACACCCTGAGGGAGCTCTAGTGAAGCGAATGGAAGTGCAGGTGAAGCCACAATGTTAACCCCTTCTCCTCCCCTCCCGCGCATTGCCCCTTCCACAGATCCATCTTTTGTAGGTGGAGAACAGCACTCTGAGGGCGCAGAACGAGGTGCTGGCGGCAGCAGTGAAGCGCATGGATGGGCGGGTGAATTGCTTATCTTAAACCTTCCTGCCTTTCCCTCCCCACCCCCTTTTCCACCTACACAGGTGGAAAACAGCACGAGGAGCTGGCAGCAGCAGCGAAGAGAATGGAAGGGCGGGTGAAGCCACAATCCCAACTCCTCCTCCCCTTCCCCCTCCCCCCCCCTCCCCCCTCCCCCCTCCCACCACCCACCCCCACACGCAGGTGGAGAACAGCACTCTGAGGGCGCAGAACGAGGAGATGGCAGCAGCAGTGAAGAGCATCGAGGCGCGGGTGAAGCGACTCTCTCATCTCCTCTCACCCTTCCACCCTTCGCCTTTTCCCTCCCTCACACTCCCTCCACGCTTTCCCCCCTATAATTCTCTCTTGCACAGTTGGAAAACAGCACTCTGAGGGCGCAGAACGAGGAGATGGCAGCAGCAGTGAAGCCACAATCCCAACCCCTCCTCTCCTTCCCCCATCTCTGCCGCCCTCCTCTCCCCCTCACACAGGTGGAGAACAGCACTCTGAGGGCGCAGAACGAGGAGATGGCAGCAGCAGTGAAGCGCATGGAGGGGCGGGTGAAGCGGCTAGAGGAGGAGGTGGGGCGGCACAGGAAGAAGGCGGGGCAGGCGGAGAAGATTGATTTTGATGAGGAGGCGAGGCTGCAGCAGCGACTGGAGGTGAGCAGTGGTGGTGGGTCTGTCTAAAAGTGGGGCTGTGTAGCTAGCATGAGAGGAAGGCGGGGCAGGCGGAGAGGAATGATTATGATGAGGAGGCGAGGCTGCAGCAGCGACTGGAGGTGGGTAGTGGTGGTGGGTCTGTCTAAGAGTGGGGTTGTGTTGCTAGCATGAGAGGAAGGCCGGGCAGGCAGAGAGGAATGATTATGATGAGGAGGCGAGGCTGCAGAAGCGACTGGAGGTGGGTGGTTGGGTAGGGAAGAGGGGGGGTGTGAGTGTAGCACCAGAGGGGTTGGCACAGGCGCAAGGCGGGGCAGGCAGAGAGGATTGATTATGATGAGGAGGCGAGGCTGCAGCAGCGACTGGAGGTGGGTGGTGGCGGTCCAACTGCTGCCTCTTCCCTCCTCCCCTCTTCCCCCATCGAGCTGAAGACCCCCCCAAGCTGCCCATTTGGTCAAACTGTGGTTCTCTGCTCCCTGCATACCCGGGTTCCCCTTTATTGCAGGAGGTGGAGAGGGGCAGTGCTGACGTGGCACAGAAGCTGCTCACTGTCTGCCACGCTGTCCTCCAGGTCAGTGCCACGACCCAAATGCATTGCTCTCGCTAAGAACCACCTCACTATAACTGAGCTCATTGCTTTGACGCGGATTTCATATGCTGCAGCAGCTAAGCGTACATTTCTTTGAGTTTCACATGGCGCTCTGCTCCCACTGTGCCTCTCCTTTTGAGGCGCCCCAAAAACATATTTCACACGCTGCAGCAGCTATTTGTGAATTAGTGTTTAGGGTTTCACATGGCACTCTGCTCCCCTCCCACTGTGCCTCTCTGCCCATGCAGATGACTGAGGGTACAGCAAACGGCCATGCAGCTGGTATGGATGGGCATGATCCAGAAAATGGCGGTGGCAGCAGCAACGGCAGCAGCAGTAGTGGTGGTGGAGGCAGCAGAGTAAGAGAGGGGTCGTTAGGTGCGGACCCATCGGATGCAGCCCTAGCGGCTCTGAACGCTCTCAAGTTCAGGATCAAAGCTGCAGACGACGAGATCAGCGACCTCAAGTTCCAGGTGAGTAGCTGAGCTTGGTGACTTGTTTGCTCGAGGTGTAGCCCTTGCTGCTCTGAGCTCGCTCAAGCTCAGGATCAAGGCTGGGAGGATGAGATCAGCGACCCCAAGTTTCAAGTGAGTACTGGGATCAGTAACACCCCTTGTAATACCTGTGCTCAGGGTGTTTTGAGAGGCTAAAAAACTGTTTGGTGACTTTGTTGCTCAGTGCGCTGGGGGCTCGTGCAAGTTTGCCTCTTGCTTTTTGAATGTTGAAGTATGACATGGTTTCTTGGCTTGCTGTCAATGCAAGCCCCTTTCCCCTCCCCACCTCTTCCCTCCCTGCTCTCACCTCCCCTCTGCTTCCCCTACCCTCTCTCCCCTCCTCACTCTCCTCTCCCAATTCTCCCCACTTCTCTCCCCTCCCTTCTCCCCGCTTGGCTCCATCCTCTCCCATCCTCCACAGGCGCGCATGGCTGCAGAGAAGGCAGATCTGTGTGAGCTTCGAGAGAAGAATGCCATCGGTCACACGGTGCATGTGCTCTCTCCTCCGCTTCCACCCCAGTTTTCGGCCACGCTCGACTCCATTCCTGCATTGGCGGATGAAAATGCACTGGCTACTGTTGAGGCACCTTGAAAGGACTTGCGTTTGCTCCATCCCAATTCTTACCATACCTAGGTTTGACTCTTTTTGCATTGCCGCATAAGGATTCACATGCATCCGTGAACCGTGCTGACTTAATCGGATGGTTCAGTATCATTTGTGCATATCTGTCCGTACTTTTGCCTATGCTACTATTTGAGAAGTAGGTGGAGTTTGTATTCTTAGATTATACGTTTCTATTTTGTTCTGGGTGTACCCACTTTCCATTGTATTTTTCACGTACCAAACAAAATCGGGTTACGCGGGAAAACCCTAGAAACGCGAACAGTGGGCGCTGGGCACGCAAAACGAGCCGAAACATAGGGCGAGGAAACCCCGAACAAGCAGAAACTGAGGAATCACAGCGCAATCCTATTTTCGCGTCTCAAACTTTCCAAGACTCTTTAAAGCGGTAATGAGCGTTAAGGAGCTTTATATGATAGTTTCCATTCGGTTCTGTAAACCGGAAACCTGGTGTTTCATGGACACCCCCTGAGTCCAGCGCAAGGTCAAAATATTCTCGGCTGCCGGAAACGCCGCCAGTCTTGGGGTTCCGTTTCAATTTCATTTCCTCTCGTCGCTCGCTCGTTTCTGCTGCTGTTTGCTCGGTCCCGTTTCGCTTCATCAAGCGGATATCACGCTTCGTCCGTGACCGTCGTGTACGCTACTCTTTCTTTCTTTGGATTCCTTCGCGTCAAACTGATAGTTTTAACCACCGCAGCTTAACCTACTACGCTACGCATCGCTCGCCGCATCTCTTCCTGTTCAACTGCCAGGTTGGCACCTACTAGCCGTATACTGTACACTACATATAGTAGCCATATACGGTGCATATAGCCATAAACGGCGTATTACATGTAATCATAGCCAGACACGGTATACTACATATGGTACCCAAATACGGTGTTTTGCCGAATAACTGTACAAACCACTCACGTTCATAATTTTTGAGCCCTAAAACATCAGTTTTCTTCGTTTACGCATCTGCCATAGTTTTCACTCGTGAATGGCGTCGTCTGCCGGCGGGGATTACGGCGCATCAGGCGGCGGCGGAAGCTGGGTAGCGCTCCTCCGCGCGCTTCTCGCGCAGGAGGAGGTTCTATTCGGCATATTAATCGCTGGCAGCGCGACGCAGGCCTGGTGGCAGCTCTACGGCGTGTCGCGCTCGCTCAAAGCTCTCAAATCCGCGCGCGAAACGACCATCGCGGAACTCAACGGGATTCCGCCAGCGGGCGGCGGAGCTTCGGAGGTTCCCCGCGCGGCCGGGGGGGAGGCTGGCGGAAACGGTGGGTGGCGACGGTGGTTCAGGCGCGCGCCGGAGCAGGCCAGCGGGTCAGGCGGGGAGAAATTAGACGGAGCGGGAGGTAGCAGCAGTAGCGGGGATAACAGGAGTAATGGCAGCGGTGAAAGTAATGGGTACTTCACGCGCCTATGGCGGGGGAATGGAGGCAGAGAGAGCAGGCCAGGGAAGGATGATAGCAGCAGTCTCAGCGTCCGCAGCAGCACCAGCGGTGGTGGCACCAGCAGCAGTAGCAGCAGCGGGAGCAGCAGCAGCAGCAGTGGCGGGTTGAAATGGCTGTTACCCGTGGGTAGAAGCAAAAGCGACGAAGGGTCGTCAAGCCAGTCAGCAGCAGCACGGGGGCAACGGGAGCTGGGCCAGGGGCCGTCAGATGCGAGTGAGCTAGCAGATTACACCAACCCGCACGAGCTGGTGCTGGTCAGAGGATCCGTGCAGCTCTCCTCCCCTTCCCCCTCCACCTCCTCCTCGTCTTCCACCTCCTCCTCCTCCCCCGCCTCCTCCTCCCCAGCTTCCTCCTCCGCACTCTCCTTCCCCCCGTTCCCCCGGCCTGGGGTGGGAAAAGGGTCTGTGGCTGTGGCTGGGTCAGGTTGCGCACCCCTGCTGCCCATACACGGTGCCAAGCAGCCATGCGCTGTGGTGGAGCGGTCGGACGTGGTGAGTAGGTGTGGAAATGGGTGCGTGGGGAGTTTCTTGGCCCGACTTTAGGGCCCCTTGCCAGGTTCCCTTCTCTGTGCTGGGATGCTCGCCTTTGCTGCCCACGCATGGCGCAAAGCACCCATGCGCGCCGTCGTGGAACGATCAGACATGGAGAGTGGGTGCAGGAATGGGTGCCTGGGACTCAACAGCCGCTTGCAAGGTGCTCTGTTCTGTTCCGTGCCGCCCGCTTGTTCCCGTGCATTGCGCTAAGCACCCATGCGCCGCCGTCGTGGAACGATCAGACGTGGCGATTGGGTGCGTGAGAGGCAGGATGGGCGAGGGAGTCCTTTGGTGAGTGTGAGTGGGGGGAAAGGAGGAAAAAAGACGGGGTTACGAAGGTCAGGTTTTGGATTCGCTCAGGCACCTTCTCAATATGTTCCGCCTTTCATTCTGTTTTGAGTTCTGCCTTGTCTTGCTTCAGATGCTATACTCAGAGCTGCACCCGCTGCTGGGCTGGGTCATCGTCAAGTCCTGGCTCCTCCTCCTCCTCCTCCTCCTCCTCCTCCTCCTCCTCCTCCTCCTCCTCCTCCTCCTCCTCCTCCTCCTCCTCCTCCTCCTCCTCCTCCTCCTCCTCCTCCTCATCCGATTCCACACAAATCTGACATTCTTTGAGCCATGCCTGCCTTGTCTTGCCTGGCTTCAGATCTTATACTCGGAGCTGCATCCGCTGCTGGGCTGGGTAATCAAGTCAGATCAGGTCAACCTCGTCAGACAATCTGTGAGCTCTCTTCCGTTCCTGTCACCACCCCGCCCCTTGGCCCTGCCTCTCCATTCCTCACATTCCTCATATTCCTTTCTCATGCAGCCTTGTTTCATTCCTCTGCTGTCCTTCCATAGTGCACTCTCAAATCCACTTTTAAATGACGTTTCTTTCTAGTCAATGAGTTGTTTTGAAGCGGCCAGCTCAAGACTGCTCCTTCAATCCCGTTCCTCTGCCTGCCTCCTCTGCCTTACCCACCCTTTCCTCCACCTCCCGCCTGCTCTCTTTTTTGGCCGTTCGATTCGTTTTGCCTCCTTGCGCATACCTCTACACACGTGCACTTCTCTCTCTCTAGTCAGTACCCCTCATTTCACCCTAACCTCTTTGCGCCACTTCCTCCTCCTCCCATCTCTCCTCCTCTTCTTCATCCCTCCATCTCTCCTCCGCTTCCTGCCCCCATCTCTTCTCTTTTCTCTCGCTCTATCTCCCCTCTTATCTCCTCCCGTTTCTCCTCATCCTCCTTTTCCCTTTGCCTTTCTGCAGGTCCCCTTTTCTCTAGCAGACACCTCCCACTTATTGGCGCCACGTGTTGACATTTCATTGGTGGGCGCCACACAACCGCTACCGCTGAACACCGTGTACAGTCACATGCAGAAGGCCGACCCCTCATGGGGCGCCACCGCCCTGCATGTGCTTATAGGGAAGCGCTTACCAGTAAGTTTACTCTTTATAAACACTGCACGTGCGTATAAGGAAGCGCCTGAGTGAGTGTACTCTGCCGCTCCACACTGTCTACAGTCACATGCTGAAGGCCGACCCCTCATGGGGTGCCACTGCCCTACACGTGCTCATAGGGAAGCGCCTTCCGGTGAGTGTACTCTTTATAAGCCCTGCACGTGCTTTTAGGGAAGCGTCTTCCCGTGGGTGAGTGTACTCTGCTGCTGCACACCGTCTACAGTCACTTGCAGAAGGCCGACCCCTTAAGGGGCGCCACCGCCCTACACGTGCTTATAGGGAAGCGCCTGCCGGTGAGTGAACGTACTATTTATCAACCGTGCACATGCTTATAGGAACTTCTAGTCACTTTCTGTTTGCTCTCCTCCATGCGAAATCCTTGCATATGCTTATAGGGAGGTTCCTTCCCGTGAGTATACTTTTATATAAGAGCTGCGCATGCGCTTTTTGATGAATGAGTACCACCCCACACATACGCCTTCCCCAGGTGGGCCTGCGCACGGACGAGAGGGTGCTACCGATCAATCACGAGCTGACAGCTGTCGGACATGTGAGGCGCGGATCCGACGGCCGTCCCGCCATCTTCGCTTCCCCCAAGTTCCCCTACTTCCTGTCAGTGCTTCCCTGACCATAGGATAGGACCCCCTGAAGTCTTCCCTACTCTCCCAAGTTCCCTCCTTTGACTGCTTTTCCTCCTTCACCATTGACTTTTGAGTCGACTCAAAAGACTTCCCTCCCCCAAGTTCCCCTATTTCCTGTGACTTCTTTTCTTCCTTGACCATTGGATAGTAACTCCTGAACCCCTAAATATTTCTGTAGTTCCCGCAGTCCCCCTACTTCCTGTGAGTGCGTTCCTTCATCATAAGACGTCCCGTTTTTTCAAACGGATTTTCTTCCCTCCTTTCTTCTTTTCCCTGTGGCTTCCGAGTTCTCTGCTGGTATGGGAAGCACCACCCCCTTGACGTGCTCATGCCACCCCCCCTCCATCTTCCCCAGCTTCCCAGAGACCAAGGCGGGCTTGAATCAGGAGCTGAACCAGCAATAGGGAGCACTGCTGGGGTGGGGCGTGCGGAGGTGCATGTTAACACTCCAACCCTTTCCGCTCCCTTTCCTTCTTTCTCCCTTCCCTCCCATCCCGTCCAGCTTCCCAGAGACCAAAGCAGGCATGATTCAGAAGCTCAATTAGCGGTGGGGGGCACTGCTGGGGTGGGGAGTGCTGCTGTGCATGCCAACGCCCTAACCCTTCCTCTCCCTCTTCTTCCTCCCCACCCCCCCTTCCACTTCGCAGCTTCCCAGAGACCAAGGCGGGCATGATTCAGAAGCTGAACCAGCGGTGGGGGGCACTGCTGGGGTGGGGAGTGCTGCTGTCTGCCGCTGCTGCAGGGGTCATAGGCCTTGCTGTGTGGAAGTATGTGTGTGTGTGTGGGCGTGTGGGCATGTATGTGTGTGTGTGGGAAGGGGGGGGGGGGGGGGGTGGGTGTGAGTGTGTGGGTGTGTGGGCGTGTGAACGTGCGTGTGGGTGTGGGTGTGGGTGTGGGTGTAGGTGTGCGTGGGTGCAAGGGTTGCTCCTCAGGTAAAGAGTGCTGCTCTCTGCTGCCGCTGGAGGTGTTATTGTGTTTGCTGTGTGGAAGTGCGTTTTGCAAGGGGGCTGTGCAAAGTTCTGCTTTCTCCACCACTGCTGTGTTGAACTGTTCGGCTCTTTCCATCCCTGCCCTAACTCGTGTGCTTCACCAGCCTTCCTCTCCTCTTCTGTCTCTCAATCCCCTCATCTCTTCCACTCCTGTTCATCTTGCACTAAACCCTTTTCCCTTGGCTCTCTCCCGTATCCATCTCATCTCACCTCATCCCGTTTCTCCTCTTCCCCTCCCTCTCTCTCCTCCTGGTCTGCCCTCTCCTCCCCCTCCCTCCCCCTCTCCTCTTGGTCTGCCCTCTCCTCCCCCTCCCTCCCCCTCTCCTCTTGGTCTGCCCTCTCCTCCCCCTCCCTCCCCCTCTCCTCTTGGTCTGCCCTCTCCTCCCCCTCCCTTCCCCCTCTCCTCCTAGTCATGTCCTCTTACGCCATACCGTCACCGGCAGGCCAGGCGGCAGCGGCAGCAGCAGATGGAGCAAGCAGAGCTGGACGGTTGCTTCTTGCTAGCACCGCTGCTCTCACTTCTTTCTCATCCCCCCCCCCCCTTCTCCCTCCTCCTGCCCTCCACCCGCCCTCCTCCGGCTCTTCTCCCGTTCTCCTTTCCCTTGTACCCTTATCAGGACTTACCGTCGCCGGCAGGCCAGGCGGCAGCGGCGGCAGCAGTTGGAGCAGACAGAGCTGGAACGATGGATGGCGATCCTTCTCGAGAGGCAGCAGCAGGCAGCAGGAGGAGGAGGAGGAGCAGGAGCAAGAGCAGGGGCAAGCTCAGGAACAGAAGGGAGTGGGAGTGCACGTGTGAATGCACAAGGTGGACTGGGTCAAACCTTAAATGGCGGGGCAATAGCAGCTTCGCCTTCGGAGCTAGAGCAGAATTTGGAGAACCTGATTCGCGGTGGGGATGCGGATGAGGAGGAGGTGGTGGGGGAGGAGGTGCAGAGTGGGGAGCTCTGTGTGGTGTGTCTGCATCGCAAGCGCAAGGCGGTGTTCATCCCGTGCGGCCACCGCGTGTGTTGTCTGTCGTGTTCGCGGGTTGTGAGAGAGGAGCAGTCGCTGTGTCCCATTTGCAGAGGGCAGGTTCTGGCCGCATTTCGTGTGTACGATGCTTGAAATACCATAGGTAGTGCTGTGTTGATCCAATTGACGGTACGAATGTTGTGTTAGAAAGAATGGTGATGGGAGAAGTGGTGCAGAGCGGTGAGCTCTGTATGTGTGGTGTAAGCTCTGTATGTGTGGTGTGTCTGCATCGCAAGCGCAAGGCAGTATTCATCCCGTGTGGCCACCGCGTGTGTTGCCTGTCGTGTTCGCGGGTTGTTGTGAGAGAGGACCAGTCGCTTTGTCCCATTTGCCGCGGGCAGGTTCTTGCCGCATTTCATGTGTATGATGCTTGTCTGCAGCATGTGTTATGAGTTGTATAAGAGAGTGCGCGGAATAACGAATAACGAAGATGTGACTCAATGAAGTGACAATACAATGAAGGCACGCGCTAATATAGTGGGTCAACCTAGCTACGCGGGAACATCGGGAACACGAGGTTGGGGTGCAGGTTGGGCAAAGGAAAAGCCGAAGGCGACGCGAGGTTGCTTCGGCAGCAAGCAAAGTGGCTGAACGTGGACTTCCAAAAGTTGGGGTTGTTCGTGGTTGAGTAAACCCCTGTAAGGAAAAGGGTTTTTCCTTACACTACCCCCGTGGTCAATATCCGCAGCTCGCTTGCGGGCGAGATAATCACCAAGAAGCGGGGAACCTTCAACAAGGCGGATAGCACCCAGGTGTCGTCCTCACTGGTGCAACAGTCCAACGGATGAGAAAATTCACGTGGCGACCAGCTGCGTCAAGCCGTACACGATGCGCCAGAATTTTGGACGGGTCGAGTGTCGGTTCCGGAACAGGACGTGCTGTCGGTGCAGTCGGTTGTCGCGCGGTGTCTGTCGTGGCGGGCACGAACTTGCGAAGCAAGCTAACGTGGAAGGCGTCATGTATACGCCAGTCGTCGGGTAGCAGCAGCTTCGCGTGACAGGTGTCACCATCTTGATGATTTTGAAAGGCCCACAAAAACGTGGCCGTAACTTCGACGGGCCGGTCAGGTGCAGGTTTTTCGAGTCAAGTAGCACTAGTTGCCCAGCTGCCAAGACGAGTTATCGTCGTAGAAGGTCGGTGTATTTGCGGGAAGTGGTATTCGCCTTGCGGATTGCGTCAGCAGCCTTCTCACGAACTTTCTGCAGTTCCGTAAAAAATGTTTGTGACCGCGGGACCGGGTTGTCAAGTGTAGTCGTCGTAGGAACCGTCGGGCCCATCCCGTAATTTAAGAAGAACGGGGAGTGATTAGTCGTGCTGGACGGGGCGTTGTTGAACGCGAACTCCAGCATGGCGAGCGAGTTTTCCCAGCGAGTGGGGTCGGGGCAGTTTGTCCTGATCAGCTGCTCCATCGTCTGATTGGTTCGCTCGGTCTGGCCGTCCGTTTGCGGGTGGTATGCCGATGAGAACTGTAGCTTCGTGCCGTACTGCGCCCACGTCTCCTTCCAGAATTTCGATGTGAACTTCGAGTCCCTGTCGCTGATGATCGCTTTGGGGATTCCGTGCAGTCGCACAACGGTCGAGATGAAGAGGTGCGCAGTTTCTTCAGCTGTGATTGTTGTACGACACAGTGCGAAGTGCACCATTTTCGTGAGGCGATCGATGATGACGAGAACAGCGTCGTTGCCGGACGGCCCAGCTGGCAGCCCCGTGACAAAATCCATCGTCACCTGTTGCCACGGTCGTTCGGGTGGCTCGACGGGTTGCAGCAGTCCAGCTGGCTGCTGACGTGTCGATTTCATGGCTTGGCACACCCCGCATGAGGACACATATCGCTGCACGTCGTTAGCAGAATCAGGCCAATAATATTGACGGTGCAACAGCTTCTGGGTTTTATCAACCCCGAAATGTCCGGAGAGGTTAGAATCGTGGACCTCCTGGATAAGGAGTTCACGCAGCAGCCGGTAAGCCGGGACCCAAATCCGGTCAGTTCCGGCTTTTAGGTGATAATTCCCCTTCTGCGTCGTAGCGTGCTGGTGATTCCCAGTCGTGAAGAACGGGTCCGTAGTGTAGTCGTGGGTGAATAGTCCCGTAAGTAGCGTGTTCGAATGGGTGACGAGTACTGCAGCGGATTGAACTGTCGGTCTGGTCAGGGCGTCGGCGATGTTATTCACCCCTTTCTTGTACGTGATGCGGTAGGTGAAGTGGCTCTCCATGTAGTCCAGCCACCGAATTTGTCGCGGGTTGAGGTTGGGTGAGCTCGCATGTACTATAGGGACTTGTGGTCCGTGCGAACCATGACGTCGGCGCCCACCAAGTAGCAGCGCCACAGTTTGAACGCGTGTATTATGGCGAGCATCTCCTTGTCATGTATCGGGTAGTTGCGCTCGGCTGACTGCAGCTTTCGTGATTCGTGGGCGATCGGCTGCAGCCCGTTCCCGGAATCCTGGAGGAGTACAGCTTCGATGGCAAAATCTGAGGCGTCGGTGACGACTTCGAACGGCTTCGATGGGTCGGCGGTGCTCAAAACAGGTGGGGAAATGAGAAATTTCTTCAACTCCTGAAAAGCCGCCTCATCTTCCTCCCCCCACACAAAACTCCTGTCCTTGTGCAGCTGGTCGGCCAGCGGGCCGGTTATCCCCGCCATATTCAGGATAAACTGCTTGACGTAATTCACGAACCCCAGGAAACTCTGAAGTTCGGTGATGTTGGTCGGGCACTTCCACTCCTGTTTAGTCTTGATTTTCGCCGGGTCGATTTTGATGCCGTCGCGGGAGATGACATGCCCCAAAAACTCCAACTCCTGCTTAAAAAACTCGCACTTAGAGCCCTTGGTGATGAGGCGGTTCTCCTGCAACCGCTTAAACAGTGCGTCGAGGTCTCGGAGGTGTTGTTCCCTTGTCCTGCTAAAAATCAGAATATCGTCCAAATAGACAATCACACACTTGTCGAGAAACTCCCGGAAGACCCCGTTCATGGTCAGTTGAAATGTCGAAGGCGCGTTAGTGAGGCCGAACGACATCACTGTGAACTCGTAGCTTCCGTAGCGGGTGCAAAACGCGGTCTTGTGACAATCGTCAGCGAAGACCCGAATCTGGTGGTAACCGCCACGCAAGTCGATTTTCGAGAAATAGTGAGCGCCGCGAAGTTGATCGAGGAGGTCGTCGGTGCGTAGGATTGGGTAGCGAGATTTAATTGTCACCCGGTTGAGCGCGCGATAGTCAATACGCATGTGAAGCCCGCCATCCTTCTTCGGTGTGAGCAAGATCGGGGCCGCGAAGGGAGATGTACTGGGTCGAATGAACCCCTTCTCCAACAGGCCTTCAATTTGTCTTCGCAACTCCTTGAGTTCCGGTTGGGTCAACCACCACTGTGTACGAACAGTCGGCTGCGCGCCAGGCTCCAGCTGGATTTTGTGGTCCTCGGGGCGTTCGGGTGGCAGTCCAGGTGGCAGATCGTCGGGGAAGATGTCAGGATACTGCCGATCAGCTCCGCTAAATCAGGTGGTACAGCTGCGCACAGCTTCTCGATGTCCTTTCTGCGGTGTCGGTTGCCAACTCGCGCAAACATACGGCGAACAGCTGCGCGCCTCGGTTGAAGTGGCAAGCTATAGTGATAGCTTTGACGCACCGGGCTTGGATGTAGTCAGGTGTCCATGCAAGCAATTTAATTAGCCCCTCGTGCTTGCTGATGCTACACGATCCCGTTATCCAGTCGATGACGGGGTTGTGCCGTCGCAGCCAATCACTCCTCACGTCGCAACCATCCAGCGTCGTCGCGAGAAACTTCATGCTGAAGCCGAAATCGTCGTTGCATTCGATCTGCACCGTTTGTGTCTCTTCCAAAATCGCCAGCGGCGTCCCATCCACGAGGCGAGCGTCGATTTCGGGCAGACACCTGTCAAGTTGCAGTTTGCATTTTTTTGCTGTCGCCAAGTTGAAGAGGCTATGGCTGGCCCCTCCGTCGACGAACATTTACAAGTTATTTTTTAACACTTTGCCGACGACCAGCACATGGTGATCCACATGGTTATCCCCGTTATTCGGCCGAGTGCGATCGATTGCATGAATCGGAACCACGACTCGGTGGGGATGATGGTGTTCGGGCGACAGAGCGCAGTCAGTAAGGGGCTCGTCTGTTACTGACTCTTCCCATTTCCCGTTTGTTTCCCGTCGTTTCTCTTCGCCGGCGTTCTCTCGGGGCAGTCTGCATATTTGTGGCCCGGCTTCCCGCACTTATAACACAACCCGGTGTAGGGGCGGTCTGGTGCATGGACTCCGTTTATCGTGGCCCGTTGGGTCTGGCCGCGAAAACGATTCCCCCCCCCCCCCCCCCGGGAACTCGACCTCGCGTACTGCATCAGCGCGTCCGTGGATTCTGCCAACCGTGCTGCTTCCAGAAACGATGTCGGGCGGCATCGGCGCACCTCATACTGTATCTCGTATTTAAGGCCGCATACGTACTTATCGAACCGCTCCGCTTCCGACATGTCATCCACTTGGTCAGTGAGGGCCATGAACGTTGCCGTGTACTCTTGGACAGACGACAACTGCGACCAGGTATGCAGCTTCATGCGAGCTTGCTCTGCGCCGGATATGTGCTCAAAGCGATCTCGTAAGGCTGCGCCCCATTCCTTCCACGTGCGTATCTTGGTCACGCCGAATATCGGTGCTGCCACTTGATAACCCGACGTTGAAGTCCCGTCTGCCGCATGTGTCACACCTGTCGGGTCCCCGTGTCCAAGGTATGTCGCCACCACTCCAGAGCTGCTCCTCGGAGAAGCGATACCGCGTAATTAATACGCGTGGCGTCGTCGTCAACGCGCGCTGCAGTAAAGAAGACCTCCACGCCGAATAACCAGCCCTTCACTGTAGTCGTCTTGTCGCTAGGGTTGAACGGGGGCGGGCTCGCGGGCTTAATCTTGATTGTAGTAACTGCAAGTGTCGCTGGCGCTGACGTTGCCGGTCGTTCATTGTTGTCGTTGCCTCGTGCGAGCTCGCCACTTGTGACGGCTCCACTTGCTCCATGGCTGGCGGTGTCACCTTCTTCAGCGGGCGACTCCTGACGCGCTTCACCTCGCACGTAGTGTTGTGACCTCCGTCGATAGTGTCTTCACTGTTGCATGTAGTGCTGCCACTAGCGCCAACATTTCGGCTAACTTCTCCTGGTCCATAGATCGCACGCTTCGTCTCGAGGGCAGAGGGGTATCCGTGGCCTATCAAGCAAGAAGAAAGCAAAAACTAACGGAGTCGGGCATGTTAGAATTAACAAACCTTGCAGCCAACCGTTTTGCAGTCTCCTTTAGCAGCCACACCCGTGCCTCCAAACTACCCTCGAAAAGCGGGGTGAACTAGGAAAGTAGCTCTGATACCATGTGTTATGAGTTGTAAAAGAGAGTGCGCGGAATAGCGAATAACGAAGATGTGACTCAATGAATTGACAATACAATGAAGGCACGCGCTAATATAGTGGGTCAACCTAGCTAGGCGGGAACATCGAGAATACGAGGTTGGGGTGCAGGTTGGGCAAAGGAAAAGCCGAAGGCGACGCGAGGTTGCTTCGGCAGCAAGCAAAGTGGCCGAACGTGCACTTCCGAAAGTTGGGGTTGTTCGCGGTTGAGTAAATCCCTGTAAGGAAAAGGGTTTTTCCTTACACTATCCCCCCCTTTAAGAAAAGTGGTCAATATCCGCAGGTCGCAAGCGGGCGAGATAGTCACCAAGAAGCGGGGAACCTTCAACGAGGAGGATGGCACCCAGGTGTCGTCCTCACTGGTGCAACCAGCAGGGCCTACTTTTGGATTTTAGGTACTCTGATTTCCAGAGTAGTTTTTTTCCCAACTCGGAAATCTAGGGTTGTTCATGCGCCTTACTCTGATTTGTCAGAGTAACCCTATACTTTCAAAAAAAAAAACCGAGGTACATCAGAGTAATAGGTTTTTGTTATGCCTTTTGTACTTGCACCATGTTTCATTTCCGCGTCGCCCACGTTTCCCCACTCAGTGCGCTGTTTCCAAGTGGGGTGTTGGCACCAATAATCTGACTCAAGGAGAAGGGAGGGGAGTGGCTGACATGTGCGCTGGTTGAGAAGTTGTCAAACTACAGTAGCCAATCAGCGCTCATATTGCTGCCAACACACGACCGAAATCAGGAGAATGATCTCAACGATTCGGGGAAAAACCGCTAAACGCGGGAGACGGGGGGGGGGGGGAAGGGGGGTGGGTGGGTTTCGGCTAGGGGGCATGTATTCCCTATACAGAGTAAATTCGGTCCCTGAAAAAAAAAACCCCAAAGGCCTCAGAGTAACCTACAGCATAACTCTGACAAATCAGAGGAATCTTAAGTACAAAAAAAAAAAAACCCAGCGGGTACAGAGTTACTTTCAAAAATGACTCAGATTTTTAGAGAAACAGAGTAATTGTCAAACTATGTATGTGTTAGTTCTGTGTAGGCTATATGGGGTAGCCCATATGGGGTACACCCCGAAGTTAAGGTTAGTACTTGTACCCACATTTTATTCAATGCCATTATTCCTGCTTGCTATCTTGACATGGTTTCAGAGCAGTAGGTCCGTAGGACCGTTTTTTTTTTTTTTTTTTTTTTTTTCCGGGCCCACCATACTTAGCTTCCGACCACCTCCTTCACATCGTCGCAAAGAAGTGTGAAATGTAGATTCCCTGGTTTTCCCCTTGCCAACTCCTGCTCCCCCCATCTCAGGCGTCTGTTGGCCTTCCCACGTGGAAACACGCAGGCAGAGCAGCTATCACTGTACCTTGACGTGGCAGACGCTGACAGTCTGCCGCCCGGATGGACCAAGAGTGCGCACTTTGTCTTGTCTGTGATCAACCGTTATGACAGGAGGAAGTCAATCCGCAGAGGTACGTGTGCTACCTTGGCAGCAGTGATCTGTTTCACAGTGTGAATTTGATTACGTATGGTTGTTAGAGGGAGGTTCAATTGGTGGGGGAGGCGAGTGGGTGAAGTGGTGGGTGAGAATGAGTTGGGGACGAAAGAGAGAAAGAGAGGGAAGATTAGTGGATGGAGGGTGGGTGTAATGCCTGTCTGCCTGCGGGCTTACACAAAGTGGGTGAAAGGCATCCGTTCCGCCTCTCAAAAAAACCCCTGTTTTGGGCAAGCGGTCTAGCGGGGCGGGACACTATAGTGGGAGACGGAGATAGCGGAAGAGGGGAAGTTGGGGGGAGAGAGGGGCACAAAGAAAGTTACTCATTACCTCTGCCTGTTTTGAGTGTGATTTTTTTTCTCGTGTATGAGTATTTCTGTAAATTCACAACATCCAAAAGTACCATGTTTCAGTCCCATCCAAGACTGGGTAGTAAGCATCACACGCAGTGCACTGTCGATCAATCCTTTGCTTCCTTTGTCACCGTTCCCATGCCCCCGTTGTCACGCCTTTTGTGTGGCTGTCCACCAGATACCAACCACCAGTTCACTGCAAAGGAGAGCGATTGGGGATTCACCTCCTTCATGCCGCTGCAAGACCTCTACGACCCCTCTAAAGGCTTCCTCGCGAATGACACACTGATTATTGAGGCAGAGGTGACTGTGGATGCCGAGGAGTTGGGCGATTCAAAGACCGAGAAGGGATACGCTGGGCTGAAGAACCAGGGTGGCACTAGTTACCTAAACGTGCTGCTTCAGACTCTGTACCACATCCCGTTCTTCCGAGCGGCTGTCTTCTGCATGCCGACCTCAGTGGATGATAATCCTTCCGGCAACATTCCGTTAGCACTGCAGATAATCCTTTCCAATCTTCAGCACGCAGGAGGTTCCAGTGTTTCGACTGAACACCTCACTCGAAGCTTTGGGTGGGAAGCACATGACTCGTTCCTGAAGCACGATGTGCATGAGATGAACCGCGTGCTGTGCGCCAAGCTTGCGAGGCTGGAGGAGAAGATGCAAGGCACGACTGCTGCTGGAGGCACTGTGAAGACGCTGTTTGGTGGGCACGCTATGAGCATTATGGACTGCACCCACGTGGATTACATATCTGCCCAGAAAGAACTATTCTTTGGTAAGCAGTTTGTTTTTTGAAGTATTTGAAACGACATTCGTTACTCATGCTCATCGCCCTCCACTTTCTAGTCCCCTATGGTTCATATGGACTTGAGCCTTTCTTAGGACTCTACACGTAGCCACATCACATGACCAAACCGTTCCAATGCAGATGTCCAGCTGGACGTGAAGGGGTGCCGGGACGTGTATACGAGTTTGGACAGGTACGAGCTGAATCCCCTCCCTGTCCTCCCCAACCTCGTCTCCCCGTCTCCCCCGCCTTCCCGTCTCCCCCGCCTTCCCTTCCCTCCCTTTTGCCAGATGTCCAGCTGGACGTGAAGGGGTGCCGGGACGTGTATGCGAGTTTGGACAAGTATGTGGAGGTGGAGAGGCTCGACGGGGACAACAAGTACCTCACAGACCAGCATGGCTTGCAGGTTGGTGCTGGCCCTCTGTCATGTACTGTGCTGATCATATATATATAAATATATAAATATACAATTTATTCGAATGCGTTGAGGTTTCTTAACAGCTTCTTCTTGCTTCTGGTGTCTCACCTGTGTACACGCCGCCCCCCCCTGCTGTTTCCTTATGCAATGCTGTCCTGGCTGCTGCACGCTTGGCAGGATGCCAAGAAGGGAGTGCTGTTCATCGACCTCCCTCCGGTGCTGCAGCTGCACCTAAAGCGGTTTGAGTACGACACCGCCACGGACACTGTGGTCAAGGTATTCCGCTCTGCTGGTCGCTCCCCTCCTCTTTCACGTCTCAAGTCAAGGCGGATGGTGTAATATTTCACCCACTTCTTTTGTGTTGTCTGATGCGTATTGGACAGAGCTTGTGCACCATTGTAATTCTGTTCGAAATCAATGGTACCAGTGCTGTAACAACATGTAATAGCGCGGATGGGTCGTGTATCGATACCCTGGTGCATTCATGCATACCGTTCTTTTTGCAAAGGTATTGTCTTCATAAAACCACTTCTTTCCAGGGATGCAGCTGATTGAGATGTTGTCATCTCTCCCATTCTTCCTCTCCCCGCACCTCCCTTCCTGCCCCTTTGCTCTTTCCCACCGTACCGAACCCAGGTGAGCGACCGCTACGAGTTCCCGGTTGAGCTGGACATGGACAGGGGCAGTCGCAAGTACCTTAGCCCACTCTCCGACAGGAGTGTGCGCAACCTCTACCTGCTGCACAGGTGCGCACGGCTGGGAGATCTGAGCTGTCTCTGTGCTTTGCGAAATCGGTTGCTCAGGTCTGACACCAGGCTGGTCCTGTTTTGAGTTCAAATTTGTGAAGGATGATTGTAACATACTTCTATGCACATTGCACGTTCAATGTGCATTGGGGGCAGGGCACTGTAGTGACTCGGCAATCTACGATAAAAGTGTGGTGGAAATTTGTTCGACCCACCCATTTCCCCCATCCTCCCCCCCTTCCACACCACACCCACCCACACACCCTCACACACACCCACACCACACATCCTCAGTGTTGTGGTCCACACTGGCAGCGCTGTCGACGGACACTACCACGCCCTCATTCGCCCGGACCTCATGGGCCAGTGGTGAGCTCGCCTGCAATGTAACGAGGTGACTTTTGAGTCGACCCAAAAGTCACCTGGAACTCATGGGCCAGTGGTGAGCTCATTTGCCGCTCGCCTGCAATCAGTGCTTCCCCTGAGCTGCTCATCGTGCTACTTTCGCAGTGGTCTGTATCTTTGTCATCCCACATAGGAATCTTATGTTTATCTGAGAAGTTCGCAGCGAGAATGAAGGATGGATGGGGTGAGAGCACATGTATGTATGTACGTATGTATGCCCCTTAGGCTTCTTTTCCCACTTAGCTGCCATCCCTTCTTTGCTTCTCCCCACTCTTGATTCCACGTCTTCGTTGCTGGTCCCCAACCAGGTATAAGTTTGATGACGAGCAAGTGACAAAGGTGGAGCAGTGTGGGGGAGAGGAAGAGGTAAGCATGATGGGGTTGCAAACGTAGAGAAGCGTTTATATCCTTCATAAAGAAGTCAACAGCACGCAAGACGCTACACTCCCACTCACACACCTTGTACTCTACCTGCTTTCACTCTGCTCTCTTCTCCAACTCCCTCACACCCCAGTTGCCTCATCCCACGCCTCCTTTCCCTCACACTTCCAATGCGTCTTGCCTTCCATCTGCGTCTTGCCTTCCATCTGCGTCTTGCCTTCCATCTGCGTCTTGCCTTCCATCTGCGTCTTGCCTTCCATCTGCGTCTTGCCTTCCATCTGCGTCTTGCCTTCCATCTGCGTCTTGCCTTCCATCTGCGTCTTGCCTTCCATCTGCGTCTTGCCTTCCATCTGCGTCTTGCCTTCCACCTTCACTCAGTACGCCAACGCCTACATCCTCGTCTACATTCGGCGATCCGACCGCGACAGGATTCTTTGCGGCGTGGACGAAACAAAGATTCCACAACACGTTTGCGTACGTCTTTCGTCTAGTGGATCATTTCATTCAGCCTTTGTGCTGTTGTGGCTTACATGTGCTCTTTTCAACCATTGATCTTACCTTCACTTCTCTCCACAAGCGCCTCATTTCTTCTGATTAAACCCGTTTGCGTGCCGTTTTCCGGATGCCAGACCTGGTTGAAGCTGGAGGAGGAGAGAGAGGAAAAGAGAAAGGGGAAGGCAGAGGCTCGCCATTTCACAGTAATCAAGGTGTCACGAGACAAGGACATGCGAGAGCAGATTGGCCGGAGCATGTACTTTGACCTGGTGGACCACGACAGAGTGAGAAGCTTCCGCGTGCAGAACGAGCTGACGTTCTTGGAATTCAAGAGGAAAGTCGAGGAGGAACTGGAAGTTCCAGTGGCGGGGCAGCGGTTCTGGCTGTGGGGCAGGAGGCAGAATGGCACGTACCGGCCAACCCGACCACTGAATACGGAGGAGGAGCACATGAAAGTGAGAATGGTAGAAGAAGATCGAGGTAGGAAGAATCGAGGAAGGTGGTATAGGGTGTGGAGTATGACATCGCATGACAATTTGCCAGCGTTTAGCATTCGGGTGAGGACGCGTATGGTTGACTCGGGAGGACATGCATGTTGGGGAGCACGATGGTACCAAGTGGAGGGGCAGGAGTGAGTGAGATGGTGGAGCAACAAAGTGGTCGTCAGCTCAGCAGTGGAGAGATGTTGAGTGAGATGTGTTGAGTGAGATGAGATGAGTTAACAGTGTAACACTGCACAGGAGTAAGATCGTGTGAAGATTGGAACATTTGATGACATGCATCGTATCTTGGTGTAGCATGATGACATTTGAGTGCCATGTCAAACCGTGTGGCGCGTTTTGAGGCTAGCCATGAGTTAACGAAAGCAGGTAAATGAACTACTCAAGTTCCCTCATGCTCCCTGGTTAACAGGTGGGACAGCTGAGGGGTTTGGTTGACAAGGCGGGTACCAGGCAGCTTCAACTTTTCCTTGAAGCGACTCCTTCCATTTCAGTTAGTAAACAGCCTATTACTGGTGGTCTCCTTTCTTGTACAGCTTCAATGCTTCCTCTCCCGTGTTTTTTGAGAATTCTCAAAAAACACGCGATACACAATCTGGAATATGCACATGTCTTTCCATAATATGTTTGTTACCAACTTTTCACTGCCTTGTATCTTTGTTTTTTGGAAGTCATTAGTGCTTCCATTGTGCCTTTTTTTGTGACTTGATTTGGCATTATAATTCTTGTTCTACTCTTTCAACTTCCATTTCGCCCTTTCCCTCACGCTCCCCCTGTCGTCGTGTTTTCGCATATCTTGTCCCTTCATCTCTTTTATGAACAAACGGCCCTCATGACTTCGCTGTCTTAATGAGGGCTCGGCATCCTCACCTGTTTTGGCTGGTATTACTGGTTGAGGGTGGCTGGTACATACATATCAATTCTATACGCGATGACAACACAACCGCCACAAGAGATACATGTTGTGAGGCGTCTTATAACACTTTGTTTCTTCTTCCTCTGTGTTTCCCCTGAATTGGCGCTGCCAGAGTGCTCCTTTGGCTCCTTCGGCTCCTTCGCCTACTGGAGCCAAAAACCGCATTCTCCTCTTCTTGAAGCTTTACAACCCCGTGATTAAAACCATTAGGTAAGTGTCAGTGGTATGTGTGTTGGATCTATGTGCTGTCTGAGGCATCTTTGTTTGATTAGCTCTGCTCAGGCATGAGCAAAACCGAAATCCGGCTTGGATTGGATCAAATGGATCCCAACGGGTTCGGGTCCAATTGGTTAGGCCACCTGCCAGCCAATTCGGGGTTCCACCATTTAAGTTCAGGTGTGTAGGATTTGAGTCAAACCGGTTGCTCTGTCCAGCCAAGCCCTAGTTGTATAGACTATCGTCAAAAGAGATACTATCGTTGAATATACTTGGGAGAGATACGCTTGGATGAGCAGCCAGCCAGGAAAGTCAGGCATGGGCAAAAAAACGAGGGTGGAAATGGGAGAGAATGGGGGGAAGGAAGGGGAGCTAGTTGTTCTAGCCTTGCTGAGAGATATGGAAATGTGAACTGCATAGTAGGGTTGATTAAGTTGGCATCCAAAGTCTGGACACCATCACACTTTTTTTCCCTATGACTTGTGGATTTGGTTGGCAAGATAGTGTCCAGATTTGGAGGCTGCCTCACTCACTGTGAACCTCGCAATGCATTATGCCCGACGATCGAGCATGCGATTACAAATTTGGCCCCTGATTTTTTTACCAGGAGAACCTCAACGTTGTTTTTCACCACTCTGTAGCGTATCGCGGCTTTTTCTCCGATTCTATGCAACTCCTCTCGCAATCCTTTTCCCTTCCATATCCTCCACTGGTGAAGTACTGGTGAAGTCCGAGGGTGTAACAACCTTTTCGATTCCCTTTTGTGCATCTTCTGCATGACTAAGCCAATGGCCCATTAATCTTGTAGTTTGATTCGAGTCACACAGATGCGACGCGCTTCGGTACAGGCCATCTTGTTATAATTTCACAGGGTTCCCCTTTTATTTAACATGCAGGTGTAATAAGTCCTCCCTTCTTGTCTTCTTCTCTCTCACTCTTTCACCTCATCCCTCCTCTGCCTTATCTGCTCTCCTCTGTAATTTTACCCCCGCATGTCAGCTACTTGGGCCATTTGTTTGTGGATCTCGACAGTGGGCCCGAAGACGTGCAGGAAATTATCGCAAAGATGTGTGGCTTCACAGCCAATCAGGACATTCAGCTGTTTGAGGTGTGGCTGGATAATTGAAATGGTTGAGTGAAATTATTGGTGTTGCAAACAAACTGCTTTGATGTAATGTATGTTGTAGAATCAATCGGATGTGACTACAAAGGAGGCACGTGTTAGACATCCCCTCTTTCCCATCCACCCTTTCTTGCATAATCATCCCATGCCAACACCCTTCTTTATATCTCCGTTTCCCCTCTCATCTTCACCTTTCTCCTCTCCTTCAAACCCCCCTCGTTGTTCTCTCTTCAAATCGTCCTCACCCCTTTCAGGAAATCCAGCATCATCCACACGTGACGTGTGAGCCCGTTAGCAACAAGGCCACCTTTCGAGAGAGTGCTTTGGAGGATGGCGACATTCTGTGCGTGCAGAAGGCTTCAAGCCCAGCAGAGAGGGCAGCAGAGAGTACGGGCTTGGAGTGCCCCGATGTGCCGTCCTTCCTACAGTATGTGCTGACCCGGCAGCTGGTGCGGTGCAGACGACTGGACGAGCCAAAGCAAGATTCGTTCTGCCTTTTACTGTGAGATTCATCGCTACTGGTTTAGATACTGATGTGATGTCACTACAGAAGTAGAAGTTCTGATTATATTTTGTCTGCCTGTTGGCCTCAGAATGCATGATTCTCTCAGAGTATCTGCGTCAACGTAGTTATCTTCACTGTGTCCGAACGTTGTTTCCGAGAAATCCCTCAGCTCTTTTCTCCCTGAATCCCCATTGCTTTTCAGCATGCCATGTAAGTTAAGGTAGGTTTGCTTCAGCTAGGCAGGAAACACATTCAGTTAGGCTTTGCCCTCTTTCTTCACTAGGTTTTTTTTCTTTGCAAAGTTACCCTCCACCCCTCAAACCCCACCTTATTTCGTTCCCTTCCATAGTTCCAAGCAGGACACGTACGATGATGCGGTGCGCTAGGCATCTCCCGAATCAAATTTCCAACATACACTGCTCCATGAACCCTCCCCCCATCCACCCTCTCCGCCCTCCTCCCCACCTCGTCTCCCCTGTAGTTCGAAGCAGGACACGTACGACGATGTGGTGCGTGAGCTGGCAGAGAAGCTTGGGCTACCCGACCCGTCAAGAATCCGCCTCACGGCGCACAACTGCTACTTCCAGCAGCCGAAGCAGTCACCTGTGAAGTTCCGCAGCGTTGACAGCCTCGCGGACTTGCTCACACACCATGACCAGGTAACCAGGCTGATGTGGTGTACGAACATGCTCGTGTAATCGTATTCCATGTGCATGCTTAAGAGCATACGTTGTCTCCACCTCCTTCCTCACCTTCTCCCATACGTGTCCGTCATCATCCTTCAACTCCGAGATTTTTTTTTTTTTCTCCTGCTTCGCATGTTCCTTCAACCGCAGACAATGGATATTCTCTACTTTGAGACGCTGGACATTCCTCTCCCTAAGCTGGAGCGTCTCAAGTCGCTTGGCATTGTGCTTCCTACTGTAAGACAAGGGGGTGATCAGGCAAGCCAGGTTTGTAATGCACGTGTTTGGGACATGAGCAGCTACGGTAGTTGCAACCAGTGCCTTATCGTGCACAGGCAGTTAATATATAAGGCATGTACTGCTTCTGTAATCACCTAATAAATCATTTACCCCTCGTGCACTTGCAGGAAGACTAAGATAACCTGTGTGGAGGTGGTCTGGCATGAAGATCCGCCCGTGTGTGTGGGTGGTGTACCGCAGTTCCTGTAAATACAAATGGCTTCCGACCTTTGATATTGGCAAACGATGCTGTTCGTACTAGATAGCTACGGTAAAAGGATCAGCTCATGCATACCGTGCTTTTGACTACCATGAATTACAGCAGACTTGAAACCTAAAATGCACGGTAGTGTGTCGTTGCCGCCGTCGAATCCCGACATTCTGCTAACGCAACAATGATCATACATGTGCTGTGAGCAGGGCCCAAAATAGGTTTTGGCTCACTTCAAATCAGGGTGGCAGGCCCCCCGTACCCTGACTGGTAGGGTAATTTTTCTCGTACACTGATTGTAGCAGCCTAAAAATTTTGGTACACTGATGTCAGCAGGGTAATATATCCCACACACTGTTTCCTACGCACATATATTTACTACACCAACAGTTACTACTCACTGTACCAGGTGCGTCGGCTTAGAAGTTGCTCAACGGACCAATCGTAGGCGTGCGCGTGCATCCGCACTGCTTCTACGTTGGCGCACCAGTGGGTGTACCGAACACATGGTCCAGTGGGACCGTGGTGCATTATGTCTTGGTGCGTACTGTGGCGGAATCCTCGGTAAAACAGAGATTCGGTAAAAGGGTAGTTGAGCCCCTACCCTGATACAGTCAGTGTAACAAAAAATCCTACAAGAGTACTGTAGAACGTATCCTGATTTCACTAGGGTAAAAATCTCCATACCCTGATTTCAAAAGGGTAACTGCCGAAAAGTGGCCTTTCAGGGCAAAAAGGGTAAAATACCCTTGAAATTTGGGGTCTGCCTGTGAGCTGAGCTGAGCTCTCTTTGTTGAATCTGGCCACCTATGTACCTACTAAAAGACTACAAGTGGACTCAAATAAGACGTCTTCCTTATTGACACTCCGTGTACTCATTCCCTTACGTGTCGTACACGTCGATTCTGTCGTCAGTCGACTCACACACGCAAGCCATTCGTTACAACAGCAGCTGGGAAGATCCCAGCCGTTGCACCGTCAAGTAGCAGATGCACCCGATTCGTCACGAGTCACATCACCCCTTGCTCACCAGCAGCAGATCAACCGGCTAGAGTCTTCCCTCAATTTCAACCGTTGGATCACGATTCGTCCACTTTTCCGTTCCAATTTTGTTCTCAACGACACTCAAGCCAACGGATTCGCTACAAGAGATTGTTTAGTCGCACAAAAGGCGCTAACATTTCAAATTGTCCACTCTCCTTTCCTCGTGCATGACTGTTCCCATGTAAGCAAGCTGCCAGCACTACTAGCCATTCCACCCATGATATCCATTCTTGCTCTCTGAAGTGTGCGGGTCTTGATGCACAACCCCCAAAGTACATCGTTTCTGCGCTGCAGGAATAGCGCCGATCGTTACCGAAGCGATTCGACGAAACCTTGGCAGCTGAGCGGCGATAGCGGGCTGACGAGGAGAAACTGAGCCCCGTCAGCTGTTAGGGCAACGCGGGGCGCACCTATTTCATATAAATCGTTCTGAACCGAGCCGAACTGATAGTGAACGATGAGCGACGGGCAACTTGACGGCGACGGCCCATGGGGAACGGTTATCCGTCAGCTACTAATCCAGCACGGCGAGCGGCTCGGGTGCCTCTTATTCCACGAGCCTAAGGGGCTCCTTCTTCTCCTCGCTAGCGGCGCCGCGCAATCTATATGGAGTATAGTCTCCTTGTCGCGCTCCATCAGCGCGCTTCGGTCCGCGCGAGACGCACGGATCGCGGATGTGGTGAATGCTGGTGCGAAAATGGCTCTCAAGCGGCGGAGGAAGCAGAAGGGGGCGCGGAAGCGGGAGGGGGAGCGGAATAGGGCGTGGGAGGGGGAACGGAAAGGGGAGCGGAACGGGGAAAGGGGGCAGTTTGGTTCCGCCAGCGGCGTTGCTGATGTAGCTGTGCGGAGCGGGGAAGGGGAAGCAGAGGGCGGAATAGCGGAACGAGTGGGGGAAGGAACTCAGGCGGGAGGGGGTGTTAGCGCTGGTAGCGCAAGGGCGGAGGGCGCAGGGGCGGAAGGGGCAAGAGCGGAGGGCGCAAGAACGGAAGGGTCCTGGAAAGGCGACCTGAAGGGGGTTCAGAGGGATGGGGTGCGGTGGCGGCTAGACAGAGTAGCTAAAGGGTTGGAGAGACTGGAAGAGGCAGTGAAACGTCCAAAAGCTGCCGCCCATACCCATGCACCAGCACAGGTTGTCTCTTCTGGATCCGTTGACTCGGTGGGCTTGGTTGACTCGGTTGACTTGTGGCGGCTGCCAGCTGTGCGCAGGAGGAGGCAGAGGCGGTGGTGGGGTGGGTATACAAACACGAGTAGCGGGTTTCCAGTACTAGAGTCGTACGATTTAGCGGGGGAAAGGGAGCTGGTGGCGGTGAGAGGGGTGGTGCAACCAGCGTGCAGCAGTGGTGCTGCTGCTGCCGCTGGCGGCGATGCTACTGGTACTGGTGCTGATGGGGGTAGCGGGGTTAGCGGGGGTAGCGGTGGTGGTAGTGGCCGTGGTGCTGCCTCTGCCGGTGATGCTGCAGTGCCGGTGGTGCAGTCTGGAAGAAGCCTGCACGGGGATGGTGTGACTGCAGGCGCGGTGATTGTAGAGAAAGCTGATGAGGTGAGTGAAGCGCATGATGTAAGATAGGCATGATATAAGATTCCACATGAAGAAGCATGTTGAAGAAGCGGCATAGGTTGCCTGCACATTGCCACGTGGCATGAGGTCAATAGAACCGCGCCTGTCTTGCATGTGCCACGTGGCAGATGATGTACTCGGAGCTACACACCCTGCTGGGATGGCGTGTCAAGTCAGAGCCAGTCAACTTGTTCCGCTCTGAGGTATGACCCGGGCTGCCCGCCACGCCACCCATTAAGTGCTTCCGTCATAAGTGCTGCCGCCCACAAGTCCTGTCTCCCATGAGTGCTATTCCCTCCCCATTCCTCTGAATCCAAACCACAATCCAGGTTCCATTTTGCCTGGCCGAATCTTCAGACGCATCAGCGCCACGTGTCAACATCTCATTGGCCAAGGTCCCATCCAATGAGCACACTTCTGTCCCTCTAGTCACCCTTCACTCCCACCTGCACAAGGCTCTGCCGCCCACTCTCGCCTCCGCTGCCCATTTTATCGCCGGGCGGCGCATGCCCCTCGGGATGCGGTCGGAGCACCGGGTGCTGCCGGTGAATCACGCGCTGACAGCTGTCGGCCACGTCCACGTCAGCAAGGACGGCTGGGCGGCGCTGGTACCTTCTCCGCGCCTTCCTTTCTTCCTGTGAGAATCTCGATGCCCTGTCCTGTCCCACGTCCGCCTTCCTGTTTCTCCCCTTTTCCTTCATAAAACTATAATTTTCCTCCTTTCTCCGCTCCGTTTTCCCTACCTCCGCTCACTTCAGCCCCATCTCCCCTTCCTCTCCTCCCCTACCTTCCCTCCCTCTTCTCTGCCCACATTTCCTTCCCCTCGCCCCATCCCTTCCCCCTCTCCTCCCCTCCCCTTGCCACCTTCCCTCTTCACTGTCCACAGTTGTCTACGGTTGTGTCTTCCTGCTCTTCTTTTTGAGAAGTCCCAAAAGTGACTGTCATTTCCGCCAACCTTCACCTCTTTTCACAATCCCACACTTCGCCTTCCCACTCCTGTCTTGCTGCCTCCCCTGCTCTTCCATCCCAGCCTAAACGAGAGTAGAGAGGCGGCACTGCAGCGGCTGCAGCAGCAACTATTTTTAGGCGCTTAAAAAAAGAGCCTTCCCATTTATTCTCGCTGCCTCCCCTGCTCTCCCATCCCAGCCTGAACGAGAGTAGAGACGCAGCACTGCAGCGGCTGCAGCAGCAACGGAGGACTCAGTTGAAGCGGGTAGCGCTCTCTGCTCTCGCTGCATCTGCTGTTGCAGGCTTCATGTGGTGGAGGTGAGTACTGGAGAGGGGGGTAGGTCTTATGTGGTGAAGCGGGTTGCTCTCGCTGCATCTGCTGTCGCAGGCTTCATGTGGTGGAGGTGAGTACTGGAGGGGGTTGGGTAGGTCTTATGTGGTGAAGCGGGTAGCGCTCTTTGCTCTCGCTGCATCTGCTGTCGCAGGCTTCATGTGGTGGAGGTGAGAACTTCAGGGGTGGGGAGGGGTATATGGTGGGCACGGGAGCGCCCTGCTGCGGCTGACGCAGGCTTCATGTGGTGGAGGTGAGAACCAGGGTGTGGGGGAGGTGTTATGTGGGTGAACGTGAGAATGTGATTTCCTTTCTGCCCTTCTTCTTCCCTGGCCCTGCGGGTTTCCTACCCCTGCCTCTCCACCTCCTCTCAGAATGCGTCGCAACGAGAGGCGGGAGCGGGAGTACGCGCAACAGAGGGAGGCTGCTAGAGAGTAGAAGTCCCTCGTTTCACCCCCCCCTCCACACTCTGTCTCGCGCTCGTACACTTTCCCCATCCCTGTACACCCCAGGAAACGCCGCAACGAGAGGCGGGAGCGGGAGTACGCGCCAGGCTGCTGGTGCCGCCAAGCCAGAGGATTTCCTTGCCGATTTTTGAGTCGACTCAAATATCGTAATTCCCCGCCCTCCTCCCTGCCGCTGCTTCTTCCCTAAAACCTGCTTCCCAACCATATCTCAGGAAGCGTCGCAACGAGAGGCGGGAGCGGGAGTTCGAGCAGCAGAGGGAGGCCGCCAGAAACGAGGCTCTCGCATTGCAAGGCGCTGGTGCTGCTGCTGGCGCCTGGCCAGAGGAATTCCCTGCCCTCCTCCCTGCCGCTGCTCGCGACCCGTCAAGCGGACGAAACCAGCAGCTAGAGGAGATTCTTGAGGCTGTGGAGGTGATTAGAGAGGCGCAGAGAGAGGAGAGAGGGGAGGGCAGAGGGCAGGGGCAGGAGGAGGAGGAAGAGGAGGAGGAAGGATTGGATTTGGATGGGGAGCATGAGTTGCCAGCAGAGCAGGTGTGTGTGGTGTGTGCTGGGAGGGTGAGAAGAGCGGTGTTCATCCCGTGTGGGCACCGTGTGTGCTGCCTGCGGTGCGCAAGGGCTGTCAAGCAGAGCAGCTCCCTCTGCCCCATCTGCCGGCGGTTTGTGCGGCGAGTGTATCAGGTGTTTGATACGTGAGAAGATGTTTGGTGTGTGTCCAAGGATGGTTATATGCTAAGGATACCAGTTGCTTGACTGTGAAAGGGAATCACCGGCTACTGTGTAATGTTGCTATGTCAGGTCAAGTACAGTAGCCTTGGATTCACTACTGTACGTTACATGTATATAATGTAAATATTCAATACATTGCCATACAACACTGCACCTTAGTTTCACGCAGTTGGTGAGGGGGAAATGGAACCTGACAGACAGTGCTGCAGCATGTGTGAACAGCAACAGCTGCTGCAATATGTCAACACTTCTCCAAGTCTCACGAATGAGGGGTTGCACCCTTGAGACCGTTGGCCTGCTGCAGGGCCCTTGGTTTGCTGCAGTCCGGCTGCTGCAGCACTAGCTGTTTGAGCTGATGGAGTTATTTTGTATCGACCCAAAACGTCATATGGTATCATCCGCTCGCTGCAAGTTTTGAGGCGTTGTCTCTACACCCCTAGGTGCCTCAAAAGGCGCATCGTCAGCTTGCTGCAAGTCCCTTGCTTCCCCGCAGTCCGGCTGCTGCAGCACTAGCTGTTTGAGCCGATTGATTTCAGCTGCAGCGCAAACATGGGTAAGTGTGAGAGAGAAGACAGTCTGACAGTGCCTTACGGGTGAGTGTGCATGTGAGTGAGTGAGCGAGCGCGTGTGGGTTGTGAGCGACACTGAAGCACTGTTGCAAAATCAGACCAACAAGGCAGAGTGAGAATTGCAGAAAGAGTCGTGTTTTGAGTCGACTCAAGGCAGAGTGAGAATTGCAGAAAGAACGTTCAACTGGCAGGCTGCGCTGGAACACAGGCTTTTGAGTTGCATCAAAAGTGACAAGGCAAGGTGAGCATTGAAACAAAAAATCACATGGCAGGCTGCAAGGGAACACGGGCAGCAGCAGAATCAGCGCCTTGCACAGATAATCAATCTTGATCCTCATGCTTGTTCAACCTTGAACCCTTCCCTCCCTTTCACTCACCATCCTTCCCTCTCACTCACCTTCCCTCCATCTCAATCACCCTCCCTCCCTCCCACCAACCTCCCCTTCCTCACACTCACTCTCCCTCCCTCCCACCCTTCTTCCTTCCGACACTCACCTTCCATCTCCCTACATCGCTCCGCTGCTCGCCTCTCTCTCTCCTGGCTCTTCCTCAGCATGCGCCTCAGCTCCCTGTTTTCCGCCAGAACCAGCGACACCACCCCTATCACCTCCTCCTCCTGTGAATCCCAACACTCCTCCTCGTCCCCTTCCTCCTCTTGTGCCTCTTTCCCCAGTTCCTCCTCTGTTCTGCCTTTGCCATCACACTTCTCCTCTCCTTCCTGTGGTGAAAGGCGAGCGGTGGGGAAATGCATATCCTCTTCCTTTGGTGTGCCCCCTCCCTCCCATTCCCCCACCTCTCGCACTTCTCTTCTTCTTGACGCAACCTTCTCCTCCTCATCTCCTCCTTCACTCCCATACGCAACCTCCTCCTCTCCATCTCCCCGCCCCTCACCACTCTCATTTCTGCCCCTTCCTCCTTCTCCCTCCCGAGCATTCCCATCCGCACCACTCCCGTTCGCCTCCGTACCACTCCCAATTCCACCCCCGTTTCCCACCCCTAGCCCCACCAGCCTTCTGACTGCTCTCTCCATTGCTTCACCTCGTCTGCTCTCTCTATCCGATTCTCCACCAATGGCATGGTGGGATAATACATCATTCAGTCTCCTGTCTCCCCTGCTGGTCCCCCCAATAGCACCATCACGTACCTCTGATCTCCCACTAGCAGCGGCACCTCTGGGCGGCAGTTTTTGGCCTCGTCTGGAGCTGGCCGGCCAGGGAGCAGACCTGCCCAGCCAGAGTCGTGTAATGTCTGCCAGCCTGTCAATCTTGTCCTCTAGTGCACGTAATCTATCCATACCGGACCAATCTGCTGCTGCTCCACCATACCTTACTCCTCCTGAACCTCCTGTCCCACCTTCCCTAAACCCATCTCCTGGCCCTTCCACCGCTTCCTCTCCCTCCCTGCCAGCCTGTCTATTTTGTCCTCTGGTGGCGCTCCCTACACATGCTGACAAGTTGGTATGCTTGGGGCGCATGAGAGGAGGTAGGGAGGAGGAGGGAGGGGAGGGGAGGATGAAAGGGAGCGGGAGGAGGAGAATGGGCGGGTGGGAAGACGAGGAGATATTGTTGGCATTCGAGACGCTTGTATGTGTCAGCAACGTGGGATTTGAGTTTTGAGTCGAATGAACAAGTGTGGATGGGAGGGGGAGAGAGGAGGTGTGGGTAGTGGCCATTGTGGTGGCAGCACTGGTGCGTGTCAGGCTGGCTGAAGCTTCTGGGAAGTTCAGGTCTTTCTGTGCGTTTGAATTGTTGTTTGTTGCTTCTACTCCTGAAGCAGTGGGTGTTGGCGCAGAGGGCGCTACAGGGTGCACTTGCTGCTGTGCTGCTGCTGCATGCGGCCCAGTGAATGATGGAGCTGCTGCTGCTGCTTCTGTTGACGGTGTAAGTGCTGCTGGTGCTGACAGCGACGTTGCTACTGCTGCCGCTGTTGATGGGGTAGGTGCTGCAGCGGAGGTTGCCCCCATATCGAGCCCATCCGCTGCTGCTCCGGAGACCTGCTGATCTGCCATCTCTCCATTCGGCAAGGCAGAAAGAGTTTCTGCCACAGCACGGACATCACACTTTGTGGCACCACTGTCGTTGCCATTCCAAACAACAGCAGCAGCAGCAACAGCAGCAGCAGCAGCAGCACCACCACCACCATCAACAGCACCCTTCGCAGAAGCACTACTATCCTTGAAAACAGCTTGTTGTGTTGATGAATCGACAGCTGCTCCTGCTTGCAGTCCTTCTACCGCTTTTGCTGCTGATACTTCTGTGTCTCTTACCCCATCTGCCCTTCTATCCCCTTTTATTCCACGTACCCTCTCCCCACCTCCCTCACACACTGCACGACCCATACTGGTAGGCCCATGCGGAAAACCCGAGGCATCAGCAGCACCAGCCAATGAGGGCGTGCCAGGTGGCGTCTTGGCAGAGGCCGACGCCAGCGAGGAAGCTGACCCATGGAGGCCAGAAGCAGATGAGAGGCCTCCAGGCCAGGCATTGCGAAAGAGCTTGGAAGGGCTGACAGGAGCTGAGCGGGAGGAGAAGGAGGAGGAGATGGAGTCTGCAGCAGAAACGACTGAAAGAGCATCACTCATATCACTGTCCATGTCTGGGTCTTGGTTCGGGTCTAAGTCGGCCTCGCTGGGAGTTGAGGAGTGTGGGAGAGAGTGTGTGGATGACTTGCGACGCCTGCTGCTAGCCGCTCCTCCTGACTGGCCTTGAGCTGTGGCAGCAGCAGCTGCTGCTGCTGCTGCTGCTGCTCCTGGTTTGCGCATTCGATGAAGGGTGATGTCGAGGAACAGGAGGGTGTTAGGTGGTAACTGCAAAAAGGGGGACAATAGAAGGGGGAGTAGGAAACGGTGGGGGTGAATAACAAGGCATACAAGAGCAGGCAACATACAAATGTTCAAAACGCGCGATTTTTATTTTCCTTCTTTTTTTCTTTTTTGATTCCGACAATTTATGAGTTTGCCAAGCATCGGTTTAAGAAGGAGGCAAGGAAGGAAATACTGTTCAAGTATTGCGACGTCTCAAACTCAACTCGCCATCTAACAGATTCCAATATTGCCCTCAATCAACATTTGAGGTACCTCCAATCAAAAGTCACCTGGCAGATCATTAACTTGCCCTATCAACCTACATTAGGAGGCAAGGATGGAAAATCCCCACGACCGGCAGCTGAGGGGGAAACAGCAAGGAAGCGCCTCCCCCCCTTGCGCATGCCCACTACCCCTTGCTCCAGGGCTGGTGTACGGGTGTGGAGAATGGGGAGAAGAGTGGTAACGGGTGAGGGTGGAAGAGGGTGAAGGCGGGAAAGGAAGGTGAAGGTGAAGGTGGTCTCATGCCCAAGTCATCGGGAGAGTATTGCTTGATACTTCAAAGCGACCCCCCCCCTTCCCCCATCCTTGTGTATGCCCATGATTCCCCGTTCCAAAGCAAAGCATGTGAACACTACACGCATGGAAAGATGATGGGGAGCTTGTCAAATCTGCACGAGAAAGCGCGTCGGCAACTTTGGGAAACAAGAGCACGTGTAGGAGAATTTTGAGAAAGCGCGAGAAAGCGCGAGAATTTTGAGCACGTCTCAAAACTCTTCTTCAATCAATCTGCACGAGAAAGCGCGTTGGCAACTTTGGGAAAGAAGAGCACGTGTAGGGGAAACGACTGGTAGGTGAAGCGCGGCGATAGCACAATAGTATGCAAAAGGTGACGGGTCAAGTGGTGCATGATAAAGAGTGATATACACGCAGAAACGATTGTACCTTCTAAGGCCTTGTGCGAGCCCAGTAGCAGCTTCACTCCCTTCCCTGGAATAGGACGAATGTGTGGGCAGGGGAGGCAGCAGGAATAACGCGTGGAAAGAGATAGAGGCAGGAATAGAATACTTAGTGGGGGAAGAAAATGCGCAAGACACAAGTATTGCATACAGGACGTTTCAAAGCAGCTGTGCTGTGATCCCCGGCATTCCAAGCAAACATTTCTCAAAGGTAAACATGGTTCAAGCATTGCTGAAAGTGCGGAATTCAATCCAGCAGATACACAAGGCTTTAAGAGCACAGGCTGTGTGTGTGCTGTGTGGTGCAGTGCTGTGCTGTGCAGACATGCAAACGAACCTTGAGTGACGAGAAATGGCTTGGGAGGGGGCAGGTGTGGTGATGTGAAGGGGTCAGCCGCCCATGCTGTCAGTGCCACTTGCACCTGTGACGAAGGGGGATATTAGTTTCATATGGCAGTAGAGACCAAGGTTGAAAACGCACAGGTACTACCAGACTAGCATGTTAGCCAGCACAGGGGAAAAAACAAGGGGGCTTCTTCCTGTTCTGTTTTCCTCTACCTAAAATCTTGACCCAGACACAATAGCTGTATAAGCACGTGAGGTGCTGATGAGATGAGACCCAGACATGCACATGAGATGCTGTGGGTGAAACACTCCTTTTCTTTCCTTTTCTTTCACCAAGCTCCCTCCCCTGGCCCTCAATCTCACTTCTGTTAATCCCCTCGCTCGCACTATCCTCCTTTTCATTCAAACCCCTTTCCCCCCACACCCCCCCTGTACCCTCTCATCGACTTACAGTGTCTCCCCCCTCTGCCTGCGACCTGTGTCCGCCTGTGCTTAACAATACATCCTGCACAGAAGCACACACGCACACGCCACACACGATAATAAGTACAACCAAGGTTGGGATGGACAAAGCTAGGGAAAGGATGGGATGGGAACCCAAGCAAATCTCCAATGATGAGTTGGCAGATTTGTTGGATTACGGGGAAATCCCAACCAGATTAGGTTGGGATAACAAATCTACACCCAACCTACAAATAACCTACACGATATAAAATAGAGTACACAAATGTGTTGACAGCATATTTCTAACAGCAGAAACATGATTGTGCGGGATGTAATGCTGAGCGCACACACATGAGTGCTGCCAGTTCAGGTCTGCTGCGTTACTGGTGCAGCAAGACGCACGAGGGGGACGGCAAGAGTTCGTGCAAAAGTACACACGAGTGATCCCTTACTCTTAAGCGAGCTGACTTTCGACAGATGACTTTTGAGTCGACACAAAAGTCAACTCAAAAGGTGGCAAGAGTTCGTGCGAGAGTGCGCACGAGTGATCCCTTACTCTCAAGCGAGCTGACTTTCGACAGCTGACTTTTGAGTCGACACAAAAGTCAACTCAAAAGGTGGCAAGAGTTCGTGCGAGAGTGCACACGAGTGATCCCTTACTCTCAAGAGACATAAAGTCAGTTAGGCTTACTTGCAGTGTCGGAGGGACCGGCACATAGGCATGCGGGGGGTAGGTCTGTGCTGCCGCAGATGCAAGGTGCGCCGAGAGGGAGGTGGCGATGGCAAGGGAAATAACATACCCTCTTGCCATTTCTCTCTCGACCTGAAGGTTAGTCAGGCTTACTTGCAGCGTGGGAGGGACCGGCACATAGGCATGCGGGGGGTAGGTCTGTGCTGCCGCAGAAGCAAGGTGCGCCGAGAGGGACGTGGCGAGCGCACGAGCAAAGCCGATGGCGAGAAGGAATGCTGAAGAGTCTGTGGGACTGAGGAGGAAGGAAGGCAGGGGGGGAACTGGGTGAGGCTTGAGGGCAGGACATGGGATAAGAATGATGCCGCGGTGAGGGGATAGTCGGATAGGTGTGGAAGGGAACTAGAGACAAAAACAAAACATTTGATGGAAATGATGCCGCGGTGGGCGAAAAACACCACAGTAGGCAGTGTGGTTGAACTGAATAAACTACTCTCCGCACTGCCAACCAACCAGCGTGTACCTTGCGAGCATGAGGCATTCAATTCTGTTCTACCACGTCTAAAAAAACAGCCAGGAAAGAATTTTACAGTCTTGATCCTTCTTGCTTAAGCGTGTTTACAGGTTTGCTGCTACTCCCGACATGAATTTGGGTCTAAAAAACCAGCCAGCCGATACATTGCGAACATGAGGGATTTAGAAACGTCTCGGAACTCCCCGCACACCAAACCAGCTAGGCAGCCATTACCTTGCGAACATGAGGATCCAGCGAGTGCCGTCTGGTGTGACCATGTGCACGCGCACATCCGTCTGGGGCTGCGGGAAGGAGTGGGGCGGGAGGGGGTTTGACGGGGATAAGGGGGAAGAGAAGAATAAGCAAGGAATGAGGGAAGGGTGTGCCACTAGGTGACTTTTGAGTCGACTTGGAAGCTGGGGACGTATAGGGTATGAAGGAAACGCTTTCACTTACCTGGCACCAGAAGGAAGTGGCGATGGCAGCATGCAGCAACACCCGCCCATCCGCCACACAGCGCAGCTCCAGCCGCTGCAGCTGACCCGTGCGGGCCGTGTGCCACTACCAGACGCGATGAGAAGGGCTCTTCCACTTACCTGGCACCAGAAGGGGGTGGCGATGGCAGCATGCAGCAGCACTCGCCCATCCGCCACACAGCGCAGCTCCAGCCGTTGCAGCTGACCCGTGCCGTGTGCCACGAGAGCAGCATGCACGCAGTCAAACACCAGCTCTTCCTCCCTCGCTGCTCCGTCCGGACCTGGTGGGTTAACCATTCAGGGAAGAGCAAGGCAGGTTCCGTCTCTTAAAGCCATGCGTCACCACCACAGCACCAGGGCTGTGTGCCACGAGAGCAGCATGCACGCAGTCAAACACCAGCTCTTCCTCCCTCGCTGCTCCGTCCGGACCTGCAGAGGCGGGTCAGGGAGGGTTGGTCATGGAGTAGTAGGGGAGTGGGAGGAGCAGCTTCTCCATCCAGACCTGGTGGGGTGGATTAGGGAGGGTTATTCCGAGAAAGGGATAATGGCAGAAGCACCCTGAGGGCTGCAAACGGCGCTAAAGACCAGCTCCTCCTCCCTCACTGCTCCATCCGGACCTGCAGGGGTGGGTTATTTGCGCAAGGTGCAGCAGCTTGAGTCAATCAACTGCCATTGCACCCGGGCCCATGCCTCACCAGAGCAGCCTGCACGGTGTCAAACACCAGCTCCTCCTCCCTCGCTACTCCTTCCTTCCGGATCTGCAGGGTTTGTTTGCGCAGGCAGGGTACAGCTTGAATCACTTAAAGCCATGTGATGTACTGCCATTCCACCCGGGCCCGTGCCTCACCAGAGCAGCCTGCACGGTGTCAAACACCAGCTCCTCCTCCCTCGCCTTGCCATCCGGAACCTGGGAGCGCCAAGAGGGGTGACACGAATATTGAAGAGCTGCAGAATAAATCCTTTGGTCAAGTGACATGGGCTTAATTCAACTTCAACCCTATCTCCCAATAAGATGCGACCTGGGAGGATGGAGGAAGGGTGGCATAGAGGAGTAGGGGAGGGTGGGCATGGGAGGTAGGCGCAGGGGAGGGAGGGGACGCGCAGGGCGGGGAGGCGAAGGTAGTATAGGGAAAGAGATGAGACGGCTTCCGAGCCACCCCAGACGCCGCGAAGAGGATAAGAGAAAAAAGGGGAGGAAAGGGGAACCGGTGGGGGGGAAGGGGAGCAGAAGGGGAAGGGGGGAGGGGACCGTAACGGAGTAGTGCAGGGAGGCACTGATGGGGCCAAGGGACGACACGAGGACTGAAAGGAGAGGCCGGCATGCAGGGGGACTGAATACTGTTGCGTGGGGACACGAGGACGGGTGGAGGGAGAGCATGATAACTCGCTTGGAACAAGTTGCTGAAAAAAGTTGTTGAAGTACGCGAGTTTGAAGTAGTGTTTTGAGTAGTTGTTGGAATACACGAGAACCAGAGCTAGGCGATCTCAGAAACCATGGGACAACGGGAAATCTCAGAAATGAGATTCGGGACTTGGAGTATGCGTTATAGGGAGTGTGCGGATTGTGGGTAGAAGACAGGATGAGAAGCCATCGTGTTAACTCTTTCGAAGCTCGTTCCAGCCTCGCAGGCAGTCGCACCTGCGATCACTCGTCGCACGACGACTTGGGCGATCGCGACGGAGAAGGCGACGCTCGGCGAATTGAGAGAGTCTTGGCCTTTTCGCCATGGATCTCCGCCACGTTCTGCCGTTTCCGCCATGGAGTTATCGTGCGGTCTAAGGACATGAATCAATTGAGAGCGACGACGTGCGCAGGGAAGAAATTCAGAGAATCACGGCGGATCAATTGACTGATCTGGAAGTATCGTAATTTGTCGGTTGTACGCTATATTGGCATTTCAATATCGTTCGGTCGTTTTACTTGCAGTTGGTTTCTGATTGTGTTTCAACTCACTGCGCGTTACATACGGTTTAAAGTTTGGGAAAATATGCCACACGTAACGAACATGGGACCCGATAACGTGAGTGGTACAAAAAAAACGCGTACGGTCACTGTATCGGGTTTCCTGACGGGTTTGGTAAGTGGGGTCACGGATTCAGTCACTAACAACAGGTGAAAAATCACGCGAATGGTCATACTTGTAACTCCCGCCAAAATTCTTGAAACTCTACAATATTCCCGCTCGCCTCCAACCAATCATCTAACTTCTAAAAAAAAACTAAAACCCAATCGGAACTGGATGCGGTTTGGGAACGGATCAACCCTAAACACCTGGCGAATTGTGTTTAGGGTTGATTCATTCGAAAATGCATCCAGGTTCGTTTTGGGCATTATCTTTTTTGGGCGGGAGTTTCATGTGTGACCATTCGCGTTTTTTTTTCCCAGTTGACTGTGACTGATTCCGTGAAACGCTTTATCAAACACGTGAAAACACCCTTTCCGTTGACCGTACCCGTTTTTTTTTACCAAACAAATTATCGAGACCCTTGTTGATTACGTGTGGCATATTTTCCCTTAAAGTTTAGGCTGTCCTATTGTTGCATGATAACAAAACTCCATACCGAGTGAAGATTCTTGCACCTTATCCTCGCTATTATGTTGGAGGATTGCTCAAGTCTTGATACCGTGAACCAAGCGCCAGCCGTCAGACAGCTTTCTTCGCACGGGGGAAAGGCCAGGTCAGCGAAGGAAACGCCTCTCTTTGGTCCAATATGCGAAAATCTTGGGAGCGGGTGAGGCTGGATCATGTGCCGTCACGAGTATGGTCGACCAAACGTTCTTTTGTTCACGGTTTGGAGAATTTGGTTGCGTTGTAAATCGGTATGCTAGTTATCCACAACGGTTTCGTAGGGTGTTTGCGGAAGGGAACTTCCCGAACACAGCGCGGCGGAGCTGGTGCATTTTCCATTGCCCAAAATCGATATTTTCACTCACTTCATGCTTCAAGTGGTTCGATGTTCTCCCTTCCAGCCGTCCCACGCGGAGCATTCGTCCACGGGCACGCGATTCTTTTTTAGCTGTTTTCATTCCCTACCTGCCCGTTCGAGTGCAGTTCCCCTAAGGGGGCTCGTAACGCGTGCGTTTAGACGATTGAATCGCAGCCGCTCATGGCCTGCCTGATTTTGCATGCTCCCTCACCCTCGAACCCCCCCACTCCCTCCTACCCCCTGTGACGTCACCTTCCTTCTGCTACATCGTCTTGATCGTCTTTATACGCTGAATTTAGGTTTTGTGGACACTGGTCCTCCTTATCTCAGCATCATCTGATCCGAGCCGAGACCGCTATTGCTGCTTCGCGGTTCGTGTCTGCATTGCTTTCCACCATTCACTTCGCCAGCTCGAGCTGGTTCCACAGGCCACTTGCCTTCCCCCAGCGTCACGTCTTCGTTCTCGCATGTACCCTACTCCTCCTAGACATGCTCAGCTTCCAGCGGTGCTTGTCGGAGATCCGGTGGTTTCAATTGTAGGGTAAAGCCTGACAACGCGACAGCTTCCGTTTCACAAGCTGCCGAACTGTGCAACCGCCCTCGTACTCTATCGCGTGGCGGGCACGAATGCCAGATATAGCTCTAATTGTCGGAACCTAGACCAGCCGGGAGTATAATCATCGAACGTAGAACATCTTACATCGGCGTTGTTTGTCATTATATAGCTGCTCATCGACCTGCCATTCCATCATCCCCACTTCGCACTCATACCCAGCAATTACTACTCCTTCACAGACCCCATATCTCGCTTCCTTAGGGTTGCCTTCATTCTGCCGTTTTTGTTTCTCACGCAATTATTTCCGCGGCCATGGCGCACGCGTTGAGTACGAACCACACCGCGCTCACGTCGGAAGCCGTCGCTAAAATTGCGCACCGCCGAACATCGTCGATCACTACCCCCCCTCTCTCCTCCTCCTTCCTTCCCCCGTTCAGCTCCAAATCCTTAGCTCCTGCCACCTTGCGACGGTCACAACAACACCCCTCTCCAGCCATCCGCTCGTCTCTCACCAATGGCGCCGCCCGCCGCGCGGGGTCGATGGACGAGTCCAGCCCGTTCGCGCCCTTCTTCCAGCACGTTTTCCAATCGGACATCTCCACCCGTCCGATGATGGTCCCGGATTCGTTCGAGACCGTTCCGAACGTCCAGGACGAGCTTTGGTATACCATCCGGGAAGAGGCTCGGCAGGATTCCGAGGCTGAGCCTGCGTTGGCCTCGTACCTCTACTCCACGGTGCTAGCGCACCGTTCCCTGGAGCGATCCATGGCGTTTCACCTGGCGAATAAGCTCCAATCGCCGACTCTGTTAAGCACGCAGCTCTGCTCGCTCTTCACCGACGTGATGCTTCGATCGCCTGAAGTTCAGGAGGCGCTGCGCGCCGATCTGCGTGCCATCTACACCCGTGACCCCGCGTGCCGGAGTTACTCTCACGCGATGCTGAATTTCAAGGGTTATCAGGCGCTGCAGGCGCATCGGATCGCGCATCGGCTGTGGCTGGAGGGCCGTCAGGGATTGGCCATGGCGCTTCAAAGTCGCGTGTCGGAGGTGTTCCACGTGGATATTCATCCGGCTGCGAGAATCGGGAATGGAGTGCTATTTGATCACGCGACGGGGCTGGTGGTTGGCGAAACGGCGACGATTGGTAACAATGTTTCCATTCTGCATCATGTGACGCTGGGAGGGACGGGGAAGAGCACGGGCGACAGGCATCCCAAGGTCGGCGACGGCGTTCTGATTGGCGCTGGGGCGACGCTGCTTGGACCAATCAGGATTGGGGAGGGAGCGAAAGTAGGAGCAGGGTCAGTGGTGCTGCTGGATGTGCCGCCGCGTGCGACGGTTGTGGGGATTCCAGGGAGGCTGGTTGGCGGGAAAGAGAAACCTGCCATGTCTACGGTGAACCCTAGTGAGACTATGGACCACACCTCGTTCATTCTGGATTATACCATCTGAGATCTGGAGAGTCCCTGGCTTGGGACTTGATAGGTTACTCTCCTTGGAGCTTGCTGCTGCTGGCTGTAAGGGATAGGGTGGAATTGGACATAATGTGAAATAGGGTTTGGGGTGGCGCCGTGGCAGGGAAAGGCTGGCAGGCTGGCAGCCCACAATGGCAATATGTCAGTAATGTCATTCATGCGACCATGGTGGTCGGTTGTATTGAATTTCCTTTGTGCTCATGCTGCTGAGCGCCCCTGTGCTTTTGTATTTCCAGTTATTCCGAAATTATAATTAAACACTATTATATCGCTGTATTGAAACACTTATCTCTGTGCTGATGGCTGATTATTGAGAAGGTGGCTCCTAAAACTTACAACAGGGTATTGTTCAAGAGTTGTTGCTACGTGCAAATCCTGTTTCAACAAGGCTAGAAAGCATCTCGAGTTTCGCCATGTCGCAGAAATCGCCATTGATGGCTCATACGAATTCTGCAGAACCGCCACTTGCAGCTGCATGTTCAGTTCAGCGGCTATTCGCTGCCGATATATGAGCCGAGCACTACCAGATTAGTATTTGTCAGTTCGCTCGCATTTATGGTTGCCAGTTTATCTACGCAGCGTTCCAAATTTCGCTACGAAGATTAGGTCCGAGCTCACGAGTACCCAATCCGTAGCCCTGATGCTTTAGCCGCCTGATTCAGAACGCAAGATACCGAAGTGAATCTGTAAGTCTGGCCTTCACCATTCGAGAATGCTTCAACACGCAGTAGCGCATCCCTTCTTCTTGGGAAAACCATATGCCTCGCTGAATCTGACGACGAGTAGACCGGGAAACGGAGGAAAACCGTGTTGTTTCACTCACGGCGCTCTTTATTGGGATCGCACTTTTTGTTCCCTCAATTTTCAGCGTCAGAAACGCGAGGCGACATGATCAAGGCCGTGCTGATCATCAACAATCAAGGGAAGGCTCGTTTCGCACGCTTCTACGCGAACATCGTAAGCCTCTGGCGATCGTCGTAGGGCTGTCGCGATCGCCGTCATCAGCGTGTTGTCGTG